GAAAACAATTTATGCCTTTAACTCTCTGGATAAAATATTCCTTTCAAGACATACCAAAGTACAAAGAGCTATATTTTTAAAAATTGCAATATGTTTATTGGCTATCAGGAAATTCACAAGCTTTCCACTTATTTCTCGTTAATTTCATCACTATGTTGATTGACACTGACTTAATGGATGAAGGTTTCTTGTGAGTCAAGTATTATTCCCCCCAAACCCCAAACATACTAATGCATTTGCCCTGTCCAGTTATATTGTCGGCCAAATTAAATAGTTTCATTGTCAGAGCGGTTCTCTCCCTACTTCAGATAATTCACGCTCACAATAGCCATCGCGACCAGGTGAGTGCATCTCTTTCTTTTGTGCAACTTCATGGATTTAAACCATCCACTGAAATAATTACTGTGGACTCCTGGCGACTCAATGGCTGACTGGAGAAAGGCTAAACTATAGAGAATGTCGCTGAGCAGTAAAATCAATAATAATGCTGGGTTTTGCAGCGTTATCGTGGTGCCTGAGCATCATTGATCTTATTGTAAATGACCTATATTTCATATCAAGGAGCATTGGGCTCACCTAAACAGCTGTCGTTAATTGCAGGTAAATATGACACATGTACCTTACTCGTAAGATGCGAAATCTACAACACTGTCACTCGATGGTAGGGTGATGGTAGACGCTGCTGGTAGTCTTAATCCTCTTTTGTTATTCTTTTATAATGATTGAAATGGATAAATTCGGTTGCTAGCATTGTTCTGCCCTTGGCCACCATTGTTAAAGTGAGGTTTTAACACAAAGAGCTCGTATATTATGAATTTTGTTTTTGAGTTTGATATGTTCATTTACCTGTTTCACATGATTTGAAGTTGTTTTTGTTATCTGGTAGAGTGTTGCCACGGTTATCAGCAGTTTGTATTGTGTGAGATGTATGTGCCTGGTTACCTTAATCACCTACAGAACGTATTGATCTTGGAGCATTACACATGAATGAAGTTGTTATAAGGGGACAAGGTATATATGGGGAGCAAGTCATGCATGGTCAACTCTTACCATGTGAAGCATCAATACTGAGAGTTCGACGTGTGCCACACTAATGTGTCTAGTCATAGCCTTAGGACTTTGTGCTTAAGGTTCTGTCAGACATAGAGACAGACAGACAGATATTTTATTTAAGTCTTGGCATGACATAGAATTGACATATGCATAAGACATGATCAACATAATGTGCAAGCCATTCTAAGGAATTATGAGAGACTGTATAAGCCTAAAGAGTATAATACATAGAATGTTATCGTCATAAATTGTTAAAATATTATTTTTAGGTGTGTAATCCGGGTTTTTAAAAATTATTTATATATAAAATATCGACGTCTTCTTAAGATATTGAAATAGGTTTTGGCACAATAAAAGATCAATTCAGGTTGAGGAGCACTAGAAATTCATCTGCCTCTGTTAAACAAAGACATTTCTGCTTCATTAAAGAGGGTTCTTCTTAGATCATCATAAATTGGACAGTTTAGAATAACATGCGACTCGTCTTCCACACTCCATCCCCTCTCCTCCTACCCCAAATACATCCCCACCCCCACTCCATCCCTCCCACCCCCACTCCATCCTCTCCCCTCCCTACTACCCTTCCCTTGACACCTTCTTAGAAGTCACAACTTCTGTGGAGTAGTGACACCTGAACTTTGACCTTTAAACTCCTGTTTACGTCCAACATGGCAGTGGTAACCTCAGTACACTTATCACCTGTCAGATTTCTGTTGTGTTGCTCAGCAACTTCTGCAAAATAAATAATACAGTACATAAAACATAGTTTTGCAGTGAAAGTGGGGCATTTTTACATGTTGTACAGAACTACTGCTGTTGTGGTCATGAAATATAGATTTCTATGGATGTATTTGACATGAATATATACTAGAACAAGGTGCAGACACTACCTATCCCATAACCAACAGATCCAGATTATTGATAAGTTTAAATATACATTTCATATCAAAATGCATTCATTTCCAAGGAATACATTTGAAGCTGGCTGGCAGTTGGGATAATAGTATCATATAGGTCACATGAAACAGGTGTTGATTGACACGGAGCACTGAGCTGAGAGGGGGTATACATACAACCCCCAGCTATGCTTACATTGAATGCTTCAAGTCACATTTAGGTCACAGGCACTTGGTTGTATGGTGGCATGTGTATATCTACTGTGTGATGGAGGTGACCTGTTCATCAGGTTTCAGGATGAACTGGTTGCCTGGTACAACTTCTGAATATTTGTATTTGCTCAGCCAGGCATGCTGAGATAGGCTCTACTTTTGTTTCGGCTAAATGGACATATTATGTAAGGTGTCAATGCATTACTTAGTGTGATGACTGTGTACGACTCTTATTTGATTTTATAACTGATGTAGAATTACGTAAGGATTGATAGACATGAAAGAGATGCGTACACACGTTTTTGCTTCCGGCTGACGAAACCCTTCAGCATAATTTCATCATTATTCCCAGGGTTATATATGGGATAACACTTTCTCTGTAAAGTACAGATTCTCGTACTTTTTGGGGTCGAGTCCCGTCCGGGATTACACATGTACCTTGCCAATTTACACTTGTCAGAGGGGTACACAATGATCTAGACTACCAGTTGTCGGACTTTCATTTTTGTGGAAGCCTTGGTGGCTGAATGGGTCTGATCGATGACTTTGTGTGCTGGCGATTAGGTGCCTCACTCTGGGAGTGTGTGAGGGGCGGTCGGGTAGCCTAGTGGTTAAAGCGTTAGCTCGTCACGCCGAAGACCCGGGTTCGATTCCCGACATGGGTACAATGTGTGAAGCCCATTTCTGGTGTCCCCCGCCGTGATATTGCTGGAATATTGCTAAAAGCGGCGTAAAACCATACTCACTCACTCACTCTGGCAGTGTGGGTTTGAATCCCGGGTGGGACTCAACCCAAAAAAGTACGATAATCTGTACTTTACTGAGAAAGTGTTATCCCTGATATAACATTTGTTACATTTGACCACTTTCTAAATGGCATTGTGTTTTAATCATTATTGTAGTATAGACCTTTTAGCATGTTTGATGTTCCGTAAATTAACAAAAACTGTTTAAAAATGACATAAAACAAAATTAATTATGCAATAAAAAACTGAAATTTGTGAAAAAAATAATATGCCGCTTTTATTGTTTTTGGAACAAACTCTGTTTCACAAATGGTGTCAACCCAGGAACGTGGAAGTGATATCATTTAGAGCTGAAGGGAGAGCAAAACTATCACCATTTCCAAACTGAGGGCTCCTGATATTACGTCAAGGCTATTTAAAATCCTAATCAATACACATTCCTTGCAAATATTGGTGGGAGAATGAAATGAATGAAAACTGATTGTCTAACCACTGACTACCAACACTAAACTGAATGTTTAGAAAGGAAGGATGGTTTTCACACATCATAATAAGTTTAATACAGACATCTTGGTAGTATGTCATGGTGCTTATATGGGACCAAGTTAAAGCATTCATTATTTAGATGTGCTGATGTTGAAAGTTATTATTAATAAACCTGTTCCTTGCATGTCTTTGTTGGAATGTTTATAATGGCAGTACTTATTGATTTTATTTCATAGAACGACTTTTCACATGATATCAGAACCAGGGTTTTATTAGGTTCGGAGTAAAATGGAGCAAGGCAACTATTTGGGCAGGCTGTGTCAAGGTATACAGTATTATGGATAGATAGCATTTTAGCCTGTAACATAAGCGTCCCTCTACCCGTGAAGATCTGGTGTAGAATAGGTCTTCAGAAACCCATGCTTGCCATAAAAGGCGACTATGCTTGTCATAAAAGCCGACTAACAGGATCGGGTGGTCAGGCTCGCTGACTTGGTTGATGCAGGTCATCGATCCCAATAGCGTGGATTGATGCTCATGATATCAATCACTGGATTGTCTGGTCCAGACTCAATTGTTTTACAGACCGCCGTCATATAGCTGGAATATTGCTGAGTGGGGCGTAAAACAACCAACCAACCAACATAAGCGTCCTGTTCGTTCATTCTGTTCAAAAGATGAGCATTTCAAATTGGTGCTTTGAAGTCTAAATAATGATGACTATTTATATTGAAGATTTTGTGTTTTTTAGCATAAATGCCAAAGAAGAAAATGAACTGAAAAAAAAGAAGAAGAAATATTTGAATGAAAATATGATTTTAACAGAACTATATTTTAAATATAATAGGTAGGGATATGCAAGACTCAGGGTAACACAGTTTGTTATTAATATTTTTTATACAGTTTGTAGTTATTTCTGGAGTACATTACCAAGCGAAGTGTTTGTGTAGCAGGTAGCAGTGAGCCCAGTAGTATGCACATCATCTGTGTACAGTAAATCTAGATGAGGAAGATATGCATTTGGCTGACACCTGAGAGATGTAGAATTACACCCTGGTACCGCCATACTGTTAATCCTCTACCTAATTGCCTGGAGGATTCCATGGCTATGTGTGTAGATACAGATGCTCTTGGGTATGTTTAGGTGTCCCCTTAAGTAGGACCTCTCTGCTGTAGGTGTTTGATGTTGCCATACCCTATGGGGTTTCCAGGGCAGAACGGGCCACAGTGCTTGTTGTGAGCATGATGGTTAATAATCACCACTGCATGTTAAACATTTCAGGAAGTAACAGTTTGTTTTTTCAATCATGAACATTGACGTTAAAGTTATTTTCTGAAAGATTACTGTTACCATATTAGAATGATATTTATAGGTGTAGGCAGTCAGCAACAGTAATTGAAGAAGGAATGGCTTAGTGAGAAACACTGCAACATAATTGTTGCATGATTGTCAACATTAATGTTAATGACATGATCTCTTATCCACGAATCAGAGCTGCCTTTGTTATAGTGACATACATTTGTCAGTGGAGTACTTGCAAGTTTGTGTAAGGCTTTGATCATATGTTTATTTCGCTCCCAGTAACAAAAGGCGTTCACATTCCAGGATCTTCAATATGGTTCTCCAAGTCCCCGATCCATGGCCAGTATGATGATGTCTGCTCCATCATCACCCCTGGCCAGGCCCCTCTCCAGACCTGCTTCCAGACAAGACCTGCAGGACATGGCTCAGAGTCCTCAGGGATTCAAGTTGCAACAGGAGGTCCAAAATGCTTTGCAACAGCAACAGCAACAGCAGCAGCAGCAGCTAATAGGGCAGCAACCACAACTTCCACATCCAAAGAACCTGCAGCATCCACAACAGCTGGTTAATCATCTTCAACATCCAGGGCAGCAGCCACAATCATCACATCATCAGAATATTCATCATCAACAGTTAACGAACCAACAGCATCAACTTCAACAACAAAGGCAGCAACAGCCTCCAGATAATCATCAACAGAACATGCAGCAGCAACAGCAGCACCCTCAACATCCACAGAACATGCATGGAAATCAACAACATCTGTTTCAAAAGCAAGTGCAAAGTCAACAGAAGGTTCAGCAACAACAAGTGGGAAACCAACAGTTCCAAACTATGGCTCATCAACAACAGGGACATGGCAGTCCTCATCCTCATCATTTTAACATGCAACAACATCATCAACAACTTGGGCAGCAGCAGCAGCAAGGGCAACAGCTTCAAAACCCTGGAAATCAACCCAATTTGCATGAACAATTGAGTAATCTGGTTGCTCATCAGCAACATCAACAACCAATGAAACATCCACAGCAGATGATGCAACAGCAGCCAAACCAACATCTGCAACGTCCACAACAGGCTGCAGAATCTTTCAAGAAGCCATCCCCACAAATGCTGCCACCTCAAGCTCCTCCTCAATACTGGACGACATCTCAGGGAAATCAGGATAATAACATTCTCAGTACAAATTCATCATATCCATCACTGAATGCATTTGTCACAACAACTGCTTCAAGCTCAACTGTGATGTCATCTGGTCCATCAGGGGCTCCTGCCTCTGGTAACCAGATGTTTGATCCTGTGGCATCTCACACTCACAAACCAACAGGACAACCACCATCCCCCAAATTCCCTGGCAATCAGAAGAACATGCTGCCAGGAAACTTTGATCAACAATTTCAAAACTTCAAGGGAGTCAGTGCAAGCTTTCCGAGCTACCCAGTGTCTTCAGAAAGCAATTTTGCAAATTCTGTTGGCTTTCCTGGCAATCTGTTAAATAATTCTGAAGTCAAAAATACTAATATTGATGGACAAAAAGGCAGCATAAATTCTCTACCTGATGCTAAGCCAGTGAATGCAGAACCTAACAAACCTAAAAAGACTAGGAAACCCAAAGCAAAGGTTGAAAAGACCCCTGATAACAGCAAGATTTCAGATTTGATGGCTTCAGATATAGACAGAAAGCTTCTGGCTATGTTTCCTCAATATCACTTCTATCTGGATCAGAACACAAAGCCAATGGAGGATGTCATGCCTCTACCAGCAGGCAAAAAGCTGAAAAAGAAGAGACCAGCCAACTTGACTCCAGATGGAGAGCCCAAAAAGAAGAAGAAGGTGAAGAAAAAGGTTGATGGAGTCCTCCCTGAAGGTGTTCCACAACATCAGCCAGGATTTCCCAAGACTCCTTTATTGGCTTCAGAAGCTGCTCCTTTAGACACCGATCTGAGCAGGCAGCAACAAGAGGACAAGAAGGTTGCTCAGATTCTCGCAGCTATCAAAGATCCAAAATCAGAAGCTCCTCCTTCAGGAAATCCTCTGATGAATCATAAAAGTTTGTCTAGTGCTAAAATTGCTACTCCAAATTCTCTCCCATCATTTAAGTCAAAAAGTGATGGAGAACCTGTGATTAGTGCTGATCCATTTCAGTTTGAAGATGATGATGATGGTCCTGGTGTTATACTACAGCCTAGTCTGTCTAAGAAATCAGCTCAAGAATCAAAATTGTCCCAGAATGAGAATCTTCATCATCTTCTAGGAGGAAGTAGTGAGAATCTGGATAAATTTTGTTGTAATCATTGTGAAGAAACTGGTGATCTGCTGTCTCTACACTGCCAGAACAAACACTCACAGAATTCAATGAAAACGTCATTAGGGTCTGTGAACCAGACAGTATCACCTCATTCTGAAGGATCTCAAAAGCAGCAGGTTCCAGTTCAAGAACACACTCCAACATCATCTACATATCACAACACCCAAAGTCTTTCATTTTCTCAACAACAAAGTCATAGTGCTGGGTCCACAGCTGTCACTACTGGATCAGACCCTCTAGCTACTACCACTATCAAACATGAGACTTATAGTGTCAGTGTGACACCTGCTGACACAAAAGTTCCTCTTAAGGATTATATACTAGACCAAGGGCCCCAAACTCAGGCTAATCCCTTAGCCAATCTACAAGCTTCAGTTCAGAATATATTTGATGATAGTTCACTGAACCATTTCAATGGTCCTCGACTTCATATTCCACCTGAAATGCTAAATGAATATTTGAACAAAACTGAGGGAAATCTGAATAGTAAGATACAGTGTGGTGGACTGTCTCCAAATAAACTATTGTCCAGTAAAAATGCAGATTTTTTGTCCACAAGTTACAGTCCACCCCACGATATTAAACCAGTTCCTCCATCTGTGCCGTCTGCTCTGAATCAGTCCAAGACAGACAGCAAGATTGATGTGAAACTACCAGAGCTTTCGCCTGGCATGAGAGTAGGTCCAGAGGGTACCACTACCCCACAGACAACGCCAACGAAAGACAAGAACAGCAAGGTCCAATTCAACATTGATGATGATGATCTCTTAGCAGATGAAATTCCAATTAAGCTTGGATCAGTGGAGGAGGAACTGTTTGAGAGACTCAAGAACAACAAGTCCGAGGTTCCTCACTGTGATTGCTTAGGACCCAACTGTGAGTACATTGATAAATTGTTTTGCGATCTAGGGATATGTGCATTAAGTTGATGGCTTTTGTGGCCTATAATGATTATTTCATGCCTTTTTACAGGGTGTTGCTCAATACCACCACATCACAAATGGTCTAGGGGGCACGGGTGGCCCAGTCGTCTAAGGCGCCGCGATTCGCTGTACAGAGTTGCGTCCCTTGGGCACGCCAGAAACCTATGATTGTGGGTTCGAATCACGGTTCGCCCCGATTATATTTCTAGGTTTGTCAGCACCATACCCGTGCTCGTGGGTTTCACCGAAGTGGTAAACGTCTGAGACCTGCATCACTTCGGGCTTTCCTCCCACATTAAGCTGACACGCTGTGATATGACTGGAATACTGTTAAACACGGCGTTAAACCCAACTCACTCACTCACTCACTCACAAATGGTCTCAACCACTCACTTGTGACAGATGTTTTAGAATTCATACCTGATATACTTTCTATAAACTCCTGGGAAACTTAGGATGACATATGATTGGATGACATTAAAGGTCAAGGTCACTGAGTATGAGCTGGGTGTCATAAACCCTTGTGTTCACAATAACTTCAGTATTAATCATGTTTATCATTTGACATGGATGTGAAGACCTCACATTTGCATCATCGCTTTAGTTTGCACTGAGTCATGTTCTTGCTTGTGACTGGATTACACTGAAGGTAAAAGTCAATCAGTGTTGAGTAGATGTCCCAAAGAACTTGTGTACAAAATACGTTGAGCATTTATGAATGGAATTTGATGAAACTTCAATTCAAGATAACACAAAACAGTATTCAATGATTAGTAATGCATGAGCACTTTCTTCTGTACTTGACATGTGTCAGACTGCATTTACAGTGTACTGCACTGGACCTACATTTGTAGCATCACGTATGCTTTCCATCTGTAGTTCCCATCTCATGCTTCAGCACTCCATACTTGTTCAAATAGGGGCGGTCGGGTAGCCTAGTGGTTAAAGCGTTCGCTCGTCACGCCGAAGACCTGGGTTCGAATCCCGACATGGGCACACTGTGTGAAGCCCATTTCTGGTGTCCCCCGCCGTGATATCGCTGGAATATTGCTAAAAGCGGCGTAAAACCAAACTCACTCACTCACTCACTCACTTGTTCAAATAGGCGACTGTGCTTGTCATAAGAGGCGACTACGGGATTGGGGGGTCAGACTTGATTTGGATGATGCATGTCAATTATCCCAATTGGGTGGATCTATGCTCATGATATCAATCACTGCATTGTCTGGTCCAGACTTGATTATTTACAGACCTCTGTCACATGGCCCGGATACTGCGTTAAACAATATACATATCATATACAAATCTCAGCTCCTAGCTGAGACTGAAGTTCATGGACATTAAGCTGGAAGTGCTTATAATTTTGTTATTATGATTACTATAGGGGGCGGTCGGGTAGCCTAATGGTTAAGGTGTTCGCTCGTCACGCTGAAGACCCGGGTTCGATTCCCGACATGGGTACAATGTGAGAAGCCCATTTCTGGTGTCCCCTGTCATGATATTGCTGGAATATTGCTAAAAGTGGTGTAAAACCATACTCACTCACTGATTACTATAGGCAGGAGACTTTCTGTTTCAAAGTTCTACTGCATGGGGCATACATTTTCACCAACTGGAATTGATTTTAATAAATTGGAAGTGCTTATAACTTGTAATTAGGATAGCTGCAGGCACGGGACTTTAACACGTTATGGGGTTCAAAGATGAAGACTCTTGATTTGGTAAAGTCCAAGTTGTTCATGTTACATGTTTCTGACAGATAGGTTTGATATTTTCTTTATTTTTATCTTATAACATTTTATCGATATACAGCTAAAATATTTATAAATGCTAAATACTTTTAAACATACTTTTATGCAAACTGTTAAGGTAGCAGGTTTTTTCCCAATATTAAAAGGACACAGAATAGAATGAACAGTTACCATGGTAACACCCTTCTCTTTCAATTGAACAGTAAAACTATCTAGAAATATATAATATATTTTTTAAATACCTATATTAGAAAAACTGAAACATGTTTACTACTCTACAGACCAGCAATCACCTGAAAACATTGACGTGTCTTTTTTGTGTTTGTTAGGTTGAGCTTTTTGACACTGGTGAGCAAGGTTGATTCTATATCATTGTGACTTTCATGCCTTATGAAACTTGTCATCCAGAAGTACTGTTGCTCTTTCCTTAGAGTTACATACACACAAGCAACCAATTTGTTTGGCATGAAGAGACAGTGCATATTTTGATGCTGTTTGTTGTCCTGTTCTAGATGTCCTCAATGAGAGTGTTGAAGGACCCTACTACACACAGCTGGGCTCTGGTCCCGATATACCTTCAATCAGGAAGCTCCTTGAACAAAGGTGAGTTGAAGACAAGGCTGGATTCAAGAAACTCCTTACTCCAGTGTATTCATCTTACTGAGGCAAGGGAGTTAACTGACTACAACAGTCCAGTTTCCACTCCTGCTGAACTAGGCTGGAATAATGGACTTATATTTTGGCTGGATGAACAAGTCTATGCATAGTCCAATCAAAATAGTGGTACGAAATCGACATCCAGTTCGTAAGCTGCAATGCAGATTGCAGGATTTGCAAAGCATGTGTACTAACAACTCGGCGTCATCAGATATTTTCCAAATCATTTTATGTTTTGAATCAAGATCCTCAAGTGATTTGGTGCACTTCATGAAGTAAGTTTTATTACAATATAGATTTGATCAGATCGTCTTGAATGGGCACCGCTGTTTTGTTTGAAGCAAATGTAAGCTATATGAGAGGTGGAATCTGATTGGTCAATAGGAAGGACATAGAACATGTAGAAAGGACATAACAACCACTGATGGCGCTATGATCAAGCCCAGAAATTCCAGCCTAGTTCGGCATGGGTGGAAACTTGACTTTTACAGTCAGTTAACTGCCTTGCCTCGGGGAAGATGCTGTGTAACATGCAGAAAAAAATGTCCCTTTCCCCTTGATCACCACCTGGATCAGGCCTGAGCTTTGTTTCTCAGACATGTTCCTTGAGAGATTTGGGTAAAAAACACACGAGAGGTGACCAACAGGAGGATGAGTTGTCGTGGTGGGGTTTGAGTACTTGACCCCTTGACCTCACTGTGGTGATACAGTACCCTGACCAGTAGATCATGTGACACTGTTCCGCACTATTGCCATGAAATATGTTATCTGGTATATTTCTGGCACAAGCAAAAAACCACTAGGTAAACCTTAAACATTTCTGTAGTTATTAACAGCAATGCATGTTGAAGGATTCAGAATGACAGAACTAAAACTTTCTTTTAATTATTGTATTTCTGTAAATAAATTACTTGTAGTATATTCATGTAAGGCTAATGTTATTTTTTTCCTAATCATGTAGATTAGGATTTGATAAGTTTGTGTTTGAGACACCCTAACTGTGACGAACTGTAACATGATTTAGTTTTTGACATTTTGTGGTAGTTCTGATTGTGTCCACTTTGACTTTCTAGAACTGGCACGACGGGCAACGCCATTCGCATAGAGAAGATTATATACACAGGCAAGGAAGGAAAGAGCTCACAAGGATGTCCTGTTGCCAAATGGGTGAGAATCAAATGTGCTGAGTAAGCAGAAAAAGAATACTTGAAATGACATGACTCATCTGTTTTGAAACTTAGGACCTATTTAGCAACTATGTTCCACATGGATTTGAATATATTTGCATATTACTCCTATGGGGACCTGGGTTATTGCTTGTCATAAGAGGCGACTACATTGGATCAGGCGGTCAGAATAGGTGACCTAGTTGATCGTCTGTCATTGTACCCCGACATTGTGGGACATTGCTACTGGTTTGTCTGGCCCGAATCAGATGATTTATAGACAGCCATCTATGGATGGAATATTGCTACTGTCAATCCAGGATAATTTGAACCAACTCACAAAACGTGTTTGAGACAAGTATGCGATGCACAGAAGTTGGGCAAACATATTTTGGGTAGAGAGGGTGTATTCATGTTGTGCACATGCAGGTCCTGATGATGAAATTGCCAATGCTCACGTGGACACACATGTTGCTCATAAGATTATGTGACAACTTCTTTGAGAGGCATTTAGAAGTTCTAAGTAAGGAAAAGAATTTATGGATGAACAACTCCTTTATTACAATAAAGAGCGACATTTCGGTGTAGGTTCTAACACCGTTATCAAGCAAGTGACATAGTAGGGATGAGAATTTATGGATGAACAACTTCTTTATTACAATTAAGAGGGACGTTTTCGGTGTAGGTTCTAACACTGTTATCAAGCAAGTGACATAGTAAGGATGAGAATTTATGGATGAACAACTTCTTTATTACAATTAAGAGGGACGTTTCGGTGTAGCTTCTAACACCGTTATCAAGCAAGTGACATAGTAAGGATAAGAATTTATGGATGAACAACTTCTTTATTACAATTACCGATAAGAAGGATGTTTCGGTGTAGGTTCTAACACCTGATGTCACTTGCTTGATAACGGTGTTAGAACCTACGTTCCTCTTAATTGGGGGCGGTCGGGTAGCCTAGTGGTTAAAGCGTTCGCTCGTCACGCCGAAGACCTGGGTTCGATTCCTGACATGGGTACAATGTGTGAAGCCCATTTCTGGTGTCCCCTGCCGTGATATTGCTGGAATATTTCTAAAAGCGGTGTAAAACCAAACTCACTCACTTCTCTTAATTGTAATAAAGAAGTTGTTCATCCATAAATTCTTATCCTTACTATGTGACAAGTCAATTCTTTGCTGAGACACGTATATATATGTCATACTACTTGTGGACCACCCGCTACCCCTTTCTTCACAATGCGCAAGTGGGATGCGCAAGTGGGATGCGCAAGTGGCTGGACCTTATACATAGTCAATCGGGGTTAATTGTCAGGTCACAACTCGGCTTATCCTGGCTTACCAGCAGCAGCAAACAAATGAACAAATCATAATTCATTGTCTTCATGTTAAAAATGGACCCCATCCCCTTCTACGGCTGTAAAGAAATGGATGCTTTGTACACAAGAAAATATTGTATCTGGAACATTGCTGACATAAAGCAACAACTAAACAATCTAGGCATATCATTTAAATATGTGTCATCTTATTTGTTATTGTCTACCTCCAGATCATTCGCCGGTCAAGTCCAGAGGAGAAGTACCTGTGTGTTGCCCGCCACCGACCTGGTCACTTCTGTGCCCATGCCTACATCATTTCTGTCATGGTGGCATGGGATGGGGTACAGTCGGATATGGCTGATGATCTCTACAGTTATTTGAGTGGAACTGTCACCAAGTTAGGATTTGAGACCGAAAGAAGATGTGGTACGAATGAAAGGTGAGATTTTCCATTTCGTGTTTCCAGCACAGATTAATCCCCAGACGTCATGTTGGATGTCATACCCCGCTGGCATGGATAATTTCTCATTTCATACACCACTTGGTTCCCTGGCCCAGACTTGATTATTTAAATGCTTTTGTCGTGTATCTCTGTCAACACTTTATTCACTTGGCTGGATCACATGTTCAAATGTTGTCATGCTAGAATTCTGTTGTGAGGGGCATATTGATTATAAATCAAGCAGTGTAAACAAATAGAAATTATGTGTTAGTCAAGAAATGGTAGTGGGAACTCTAGACAAGGGGAGGCAACTCTTGGTTTAAGGAAAATTGCTTCCTCCTTGGCCTCACTTTTATCTATTTTATGTTTCACGGATTTATTCCAGCTTTTCCATTCAAGGTTGGTCGAAATAAAAATAAATGGCTATGTCAATCAATTATTCATTTTTATGAAAGTCACTCTGCCATGGATTTAAAACTGCAGCTGGCTCCTTGAATCACTGATTGTGATGTAGACATGGAGTTGATATAAAACATTTTACATTTTATAAGAGGGTCTATGTAAATAGCGGGAGACATAATAAAAATAAATATTTTTATGTTTCATTTTTTTTCTTTTCCAGCTGCTTTTCAGTAGATCCATGGGCCCGTAAAACAAAAGAATATGTGTGGCCTTTCCTCAGTATAGTTTTTCCATTTTAGCCTCTAGTGAAAGTACATATCACTCATCAATTGGTTTTAGTGCTATATTTGAGGGATTGTTCTTTCAGAAAAACCTGTGCATGCCAGGGAGTAGACTTGGTGAGACGAGGCGCATCATTCTCGTTTGGCTGTTCATGGAGTATGTATTTCAACGGCTGTAAATATGCTCGCAGTCGGGATGCCAGAAAGTTCAAGCTCAAGGACACAGTAAAGGTTAGAAAATTCTTTCAAAATAATTTGAAATATTCACTCATATGATATGTGTTATCTTTATGCTTCTGAACAAATGGTCAGAGTTTGAAAACTGCGTGAGATTTTATTTCTATTTAGTACACAAACTGACCCATTGTCGATCAGAGGTGAAATGGGCTACTGTTACTCGCTTTGTATCTCCCTGCATTAACTATTTGCTGTGATTATCATATCCCCTCATTTGTGCAACACTACTTGGGACTTTTGTTGCTGTAAAAGGCGACTATGCTTGTCGTATGAGGTGACTAATAGGATCGGGTGGTCAGGCTCGCTGACTTGGTTGATGCATGTCATCGTATCCCAATTGTGTAGATCGATGCCCATGATGTCAATCATTGGATTGTCAGGTCCAGACTCGATTATTTACAGACAGCCTTCATATAGCTGGAATATTGCTGAGTGCGGCATTAAACAAACAAACAAACAGTACTTGGGATGACCGATCTACCCCATAGAAAAATTTGCCAATGTGCACATATGGATTTGCAGGACACTTCTACATCTCCGATTCGCTACAACTTGTAAAGTATTTTCAGAACTATTAGGTATATTTATCTTAATCACGTAGCTCCAAAAGCATCGAAAATGAAAAATTGGTAGCGTTTCGTTGAAGCTGCCATGTTATTTTTGATTGGGGATCTATATTCAAAGTTCACTATCAATGAAATGAAGTGGCAGTGAAGTAGCCTTGTGGTTAAAGCATTCACTCGACATGCTAAAGGCCTGGGTTCAATTCAATATATGATTATAATGTGTGAAGCCCATTTCTGGGGTCACCATCATATTGATGGAATATGCTAAAAAGCTGCATAAAACCACATTTACTCAATGAAACAAAATGGCCTCATTTGACGGGAAGTGTTTTTCACCCGTAGAACCAAGCGTCGGCATAGAGAACTGTTGATAATAATTAACAGATGGAGGATACAGCAACCATAGATTCATAACTGTCAGTAATCAATATGATTATATGATGACATAAATAGAGGATATTATATGAGTGTTCATGTCATACGATGTTTACGACACAAGTGTCTAAATTCTGGTATTTCCCGAGAAATAGTGAGGGAAATACCGGAACTTAGGCATGAGTGTCATAAACATAGTATGACGTGAACATGAATATAATGTTCTATTTATTACCGAAGACGATGTCGACATACAGAGATGATTTTACCTATAAAGACAGCAAGTTGCAACAGCAGCGGAACCACAATTTGTTGAATGATGTCAACAATCTTCAGCTATGACGTTGTTTCTAATGTGACTTCATTTCGCCGTCACGTCACAATAAGATTTGGATGACGTCAACAGTGCCGTCTGGATGATGGAAACAATACACTGTTGTCTCGTGACTTGATATGACCCTGGGGCACATATGATTTTTAGGAACCCCGATATGTTTGCCCTCGTAGGTAATTAATCTATATACCGGTATTACTTACGAACGTGATCAATATGCTTGAGATATGTGATCAGAATAATGTATGATATGGTTGTGTTTTATATCTGAGGATTGTAGTACCACTTTTCTTCATATTGTCATTTAGGAAACAGAGCTTGAAGAGAGGCTACAAAATCTGGCCTCAATGGTGGGACCACTGTACGAGACTGTTACACCAGATGCCCATCGTAACCAGGTATGTCACAGTTCAAAATATTCTGTTGACTCAAGGTGAGGTGAGGTGAAATGGGGTTTGTTGTCACACATGAAGTGACATGCATGTGTGTGTGCATGGCTGCCATCTTCCCAAGGCAAGTGAGTTAACTGATTTTAAAAGTCCAGTTTCCACCCTTGCCGAACTGGGCTGGTATTATGGAGTTACATTTTGGCTGGACTAACGAGTCTATGTATAGTCCAGTCAAAATCGTGTCATGAAATTGACATCCGGTTTGTAAACTGTTGTGCAGATTTTGGTCGATTGCAAGATTTGCAAAGGATGTGCACCGCCAACTGGGAGTCAGCAGATATGTTTTCAGGTTTTTAATCAAGGTGCTCACATGATTTGATGCACTTTGCGATGTAAGACCCGTTTTGTCACAATATAGATCTTGATTATTCATCAGATTGTCTTGACTGGGCGCCGCCATTTTGTTTGAAGCAAATGCAAGTGATACAAGAGGTTGAATCTGATTGGCTAATAGGAGAGGCATAAAAGGGACACAACTCATATTAACCGCTGGCTGCGCTACGATCGAGCCCAGAAATTCCAGTCTAGTTCGACAAGGGTGGAAACTGGACTTTTATAGTCAGTTATCTCCCTTGCCTTGGGAAGATGGTGGCTGCTTGCAATAGTCCAGATTATTCCCGCTTTTATAGTGTTAGCCCACCGTGATACCATGTCACTGTTTAACATGGAAGCTCCACTCTGAAACAGTATAATGACTACCAGCCAACCAGTCCTTGTTTTATCCCCTAATGTGGAGTGCAAGGAATGGCAACAAGAAGTATTATCTTTAAAATCTTTTTGTATGATGCGGCCAGGGAGCAATCCACCCTGTTGAGTCAAAAAGACATTGATTGAAAATTGAAATGAAAGGAAAGGGCTGTAGCAAGATGACGGTAGTGTCAGCAGGAAACATGAAGAAATGTTCATTTGAAGGCAGTTATTCTTTGTATTTAGAGCTTAATTTTGTAAGTATTTGACATTGCATTTTTTAAATGTGTGTGTCTATATTTTAGGAGTGTCTATGATTTTAATTAAGAATTGACTTCAGTATTTTTTATTTTTATGGAGGTATAACTGGTGTTCACACTTTCTAAAAATACACAAAAAAATTTGAAGTCAAGAGTAACTTGACGGTTTATTTATTTAATAACACAAACAGCTTAGGACAACAATTTGTGACATCATTAAGCAGCATGTCCCTACTCTTGTGTGTGTCAACCCATCACAAAACAGTCGTCCGCTTGTGGGTGTGGCCTAAATGCCATGGAACTAGGGCTGGGATGGGTAATTCGGGTTTTCAAGTCGGGTGGGTACTGAGTAGGACCCGGGTACCCACAGTACTACACGGACCCGTGGTTACTCACATGATATTAAGTTTAAAAACAAAAACTACATCTCAGTGGTTACACTTCAAGTTGCTAATGATCGCATTTCTTTCTGATGATGCACACATTCCTTTTGACTTGTATATATGTTTGAGTAATGATAAGGCTTCAGTCAACTTCAGTGTATGCAAGATCTGATCGTTTTATAAATGTATCTAAAAAGATTTTGCCAGGTCTGCAGTTATACAATTCCCAATCAGACATTTTGTTCCCAACTCTTGTGACCTACAGTGGGTATCCCGGTAGGGTCGTGAAATAGGGGCTCGGGTACCCGGGTAGGGTTCGGGAAATAGGGGGTCGGGTACCCGTGTAGTAAATTTGGACTCGTCCCAGCCCTACATGGAATCACTGGCAGTTTATGTATTTCTGACTTTTCTGTCCATTCTAGTGTCAGTTTGATACCGAAGGAGGAGAATGTCGCCTCGGCGACAACAAAGCCCGTCCATTCAGTGGAGTAACTGCCTGTGTTGACTTCTGCGCTCATGCTCACAAGGATCTCCACAACATGAATAACGGCAGCACTGTGGTAAGTACACACACTGGACCCTAGCCGGGTGTGTTGGTCTCAAACATAAAACAGCATTCCCCATGTTAATTGTATGGTGTTAATCATATGTCGATGGCTCTGTGATATTTCATTGTATACACAGGCATCTCACTCCAGGAGTAGGCCTCAGTATATTTTATTTATGTTGTATAAGAGCATCATGTTTTGTTACGAAAATGAATGCTAAAATGAGTTTATTAATACTCCAGGGGCTAAAATATATGTGAGCGCCATTGGACAGTAACAAGAAACAGACTTTGTTCTTCATTCTTTTAATAACTAGTTTTAATGTTGGAGGTGAACAGCTGCGATGTTAAAACGAGGGGATTATGCTGAAAACTTTAAAACTGACTAATCATGTCCACTTCTTTCCTCAGGTTGTGACCTTGACCAAGCACAGAGGGTTTCAGAAGCCTGAGGATGAGCAACTCCACGTGTTGCCCCTGTATGTTCTTGACCCCACAGATGAATCTGGAAGTGTGGAAGGGCAGAGGGAGAAGATCAGACAGGGATGCCTTGAAGTCCTAACCAACTATCCACTTGAGGCTAAAATGAGAGCCCAACCCCTAACCCCGAAGAAAAGAGGAAAAGCAGCAAAGAAAGACAGCCCAAATGCTAAGAAGAAGAAGGAACAAGAACCGGTGTTCCCCCAGCCTCCAGTCCACAACGAGGCACCCCCAGCAGGTGGTGCTCCTGCAAAAGAACAGCACGCCATGCTGGAGCATCTGATGAAGAAAGTCAACAATGAGAGTATTTCATTTGAAGATCTCATGTCTCACTCGTATCTTCCAGGCTTTAATGAGCTGTATGGCAAATTCTGGGATTACTTCTATGCCAATGGTACATTCCCTCCTGGAACTTTCTTGTCAAAATGGGCAGCTAATAAAATGTCATTTTTGAATAATCAAAAATCAGACGGTGCTGGAAACCATTTTAAGATGGAAAATAATCAAATGCTTCATAATCCACACCATCCCAATATTCCAAACCACAATGGCCCTCCATCGCAGGGTCAACATTTAAATCAAGGTCAAGGGCAGCAAAATGGAATGACCCCTAACCCTCAAGGTCAAGGGGTGAAACATGAAGGTCATAAGCTATTCAGTCATCATCCATCAATTCCTCAAAATGGTGCATCTCAGGAACAACATCAAGTATCATCGAACTCATTCTCATCCCCACTGGACATGTTGTCGACTGCTGCAATTATGCAGAACGGAGATAAGCTGTGTGCCAATGGACCAGGAGGTGCTCATCTACCACCTCAATTTTCATCTTCCCAACCAGTGCCTTCCCAGCCTGGTCCAATGTCAGGTCAAACAGGTCCTCCCCATCCTCAGACAACTCAGGATCAACCAAATCCGTCTGGATACCCAGCTATGCAACATCGAGCATCATCACTGCCACAACATCCAAATCAACATTCCAGTGCAGACGGCAAATCTGACTGTAACAACCCTGCGGGGTTCAATAATAGGGCACCCTGCAATCTAGCAGGGACATCAATGTGCAATGGAGGTGCAGACAAATCTGCACTGGACTTTGGAAATCAGAATAGGCTACATGCTGACGAGCCTAATGAATGTATGATAGACCCAACTGTTGTCAAATGTGAGTGGGAGTACAATGAGGAGGTTTTCCGCGATCCCAACATTGGTGGTGTTGCCATTGCCCTAGGGCATGGCGCTGTGCTGTTTGAAGTTGCCAAGCGTGAGCTACACGCAACAACTGCTCTGAAAAACCCAAACCGCTATCATCCAACCAGAATAAGTCTTGTGTTCTACCAACATAAAAATTTGAATTATCGGCACCACGGCTGGTACGAAAATGAACGAAAGATGGAAATGTTACGACAGAAGAAGTTGGAGAAAATGAAAGACCCCATCGAAAATGAGGTCCCAGTCAATGGAGCTGTCAATGGAGCCGTGAAAATTGTTAAAAAGAAGAAAAAGAAGGAAACTGTCGATTTTGCAAAAACTTCAGCAGCACAGTACAAATATATGTGGGATGCACCTGTTCGGCATGGCGTCTCCTTGACAACGGACTCTATTATTACACGCTGGATAGATCCGCAGCCAATGGTATCAGGCCCTTATCAACGGTGGGTTTGATAAACCAATCAGATGTATTGTTCAAGGATAATTGGGTTTATATGTAAGCATTTACCATCCTAGTACTTATCTCTAGTTTCAGAACATGTTCTTGTTATTGTTTATACCATACATAAACAGCTTGTAACAATGTTGTGCCAACATTCATGTCATTTTGTTTATTGTTAAGCCTCTTCATCGTTTATAAAGAAAAAATAGCAAGTTTTTTAAATTTTGGGATAAAGATGTTATGTTTTGTTTGGCTATTCCATTGTGCTTCAGATAAATGAGAGGCAGTGCTAGGGTTTTTAAGATAAACTGTTAACTGTTATGTCTTTCATCTCAGTATGTTTTGAAATTGTGCTATAAGTGAATTGTTACATTTTCGAAACAGTAACTCATGCAACGCATGTCGTGTTTTCATGAGAGTGGAACAGGTGTGCATAGACAGGAATGAATGATCAGCATCATTTGTCCAAACATACCTCTCTTAAATAGGCATAAATGTGAGATTTTCCTGATAGTAGTTCAAGCAAAGAGTTTGTTGGAAATGACTATTTACAAAAGTTGTTTTTATTATTTTTCCCAATTATGAACGTTTTTCTGTGGTTTTACTATGTTTGTGCTGTGAGAAAGTGCTGTGAGATACTGACAAATTTCAAGAAATTTAATTTCACAAAATTAAAGAGCTTTTATTTCGGGAATTGTAAATGGTACGACAACTTGGCAAATTGTGAGTTTGATTTCTTGAAAGTAATTCAGTGTAATGCATGTCAGATACTGCTTGTATACAACTAATTAAATTATAATTTATATGATAGTGATTTTAGTTAGCATAATTTAAGGCAATGAGCAGTACTGCTCGACACTTATTAACTCAGGGTTTTTCAATATATTGTTTAGCATACTCACATGTATATGAAGTCACATGTATGACTTTATTAAAGAGAAATAGTATACTTTATGAATATTCATGCAGTTTATATTCACAGAAACGCCTGAACATATTCTTTCATACCTGCATAGTTTCTGTATATTTTATGTTGTTATTGTTGCTTTGAGTGAGAAATGTAATTAGTTAGTAAACCCCATGTTATATCAAAGTAGAACCTGAAACATCTCTGCAAAATCTGCAAAAAAATTCAAATTTTCAATAAAGATAATCAATTTTAAGCCATGACAACGTTAACTGCATGTACAGAAGTACAAGAGCCATGTTATCGTGATTATGAATATGAAAATGGTACGAAAGATACTGTTCCCAAAACACGATTTGATATGCTATGTACTTTACTTGTAAGTGGTATTTACATTCATCACTTTTGATTAATAACGGCAGCTGAATTTTTCTAATTCATGTAGAGTGGTTAAGATTATCATGTGATCTGATTCTTCAGTCAGGAGAGTCAGGTATGATCTTGGCTAGGAATGTGACTTAATTACATTATATATTGTGTCAGTCTGTGTTTTGTACCAAATGTGAATTAATCGCCATTCGAGGAATGTATTCTGTACATTGGTTTTAATTGTAATATAAATTAAGTCATTCTTATTCTGCAATAGTTGATATTTGTAATTTCAAATTGTTATAACAGGCATAAATGTGTGTATTTTGAGACATTGTTGTACAGGTAGTTTATTTATCATGGTAACCATGGTAACCCAGAGAAACAATTGTACAAATTAATGAATTCATTGCCATCAAGAAAGCTTATGTGACATAGTCATCTGATGTTTAGTGTAAGAGATTTTTACATATGTTATTTGTTATTGTCTCAAGAGTTCCTCTTACATTATGATGTTTTCATATTGGCGAAGTATGATTTTATTTGTTAAAGTCATTCAAATGCATGTTTAGGTTTTAAATCCCATTTTTTCTGGCATGTGTGGACATTTCTCACTTTTTAATGAATGATAAGTCACCATTTTTGTTGTTTATTTTGTTTTAATTATTGTTTCACAAGATCTCAAACAATAATTGTTTACCAGCTGTGAAAGACGATGACACAAAACAAAGATGGCATAATTGTTCAATAATGATTTGAAAGTTGTACATTAGGTGGATGTGTATATCAAACCACAATATATAGGGATTTATCTTGACCTGCTCAGAGGCTGACAATCGGCCCCAAATCTACAGCAATAGTGAGTACAAATCCACATTCAATTTAAAATCTCCCAATTCCTGTTTTTGTAGTTACCGGTATAATAATGTCATGGCTTTATACGGATAACTTATAGTTCACTGATAACATGCCCAGTAAGGACGAAGAAGCTTGAATGCTTTTTTGTACAGTATGGCATTGAATGCATTTATTAAATATATCTCAATTTAAGAAAATAAGGTATTTTTATTAAAATTTATTTTGAACCATGAATCCTTCTCAATTTGCCTGCCAAGTGCAATTGGGATGCAGTTGTAGTTAAATCCCTGCATTATGATGGTATGACAATGGAGTCTGTTTGGGGGGATAATCCAGAATGGTTATTCTCCGTGTTGGCATTTTACCAGTGAGGGCTCTGTGTCTAATCTGGTCAAAACATGTAGCAATGCAGCTGATAGTAACAACCCTGAATTTTCAGAAAAGGAAAAAAAAATCTTTTTTCAGAAATTGATTGTTTAACCTTCTGAATGCTTGTTGTGTTTCTCAATTACCTTCTTAGCCATTTTCCGTCTTTCTAGAAATAAGGATCTTTGGAACTATGGAAGGGTTTAGTTTGACCGAACAACATTTTTATTAAAAAAATTGACCCAGATGTTTTGTGTGGTCTCAAGAAGGTAACCATGTAAAATGCTCAAATTAATCATGTCATTGATATTCACACCAAACTCCATTAACTAGGAAATATGATGCACTTGTAAACATTGTTACTTATCTGCTGTAGGTAATGGTGTCTGTCCTCATTAGACTGCTTGTTCCTCAGGACAAAATCAGGCAGGTCCTTGTGATGCATCTGGTACATTTACTCTCCAAGTCAGGTTTCGTGCTATGAAAGTTCATTGAATTATCAATTAACCTAGGTGGTCCAGTGGCCTAAAGCACTGTAAATCACTGAGCAGAGTTGCATCCCTTAGCTGTGTCAGGATCTGCAGGTTGTGGGTATCAATCATGAATTTGCCCTGATCGTCATCCTTGATATGTCAGTGCTCCATTGCTTGTGGGTTTAACCAAACTTGTAAACATCTATGAATTACTTCACTTTGGGATTTCCTCCAACATAAGCTGACACAATGGGATGTACTCGAAAAATCTTTTATTTTATTGGATTGTAAAAGAGTTGGTGCTAAAATTCAATGTTGGTGGTCGAAAAAAATTATTCTAATTCAGACTAGTACACCTATAAATGAATGAAAAACAAACAAATTTGAACGTAACAAGATATCAAAAGATATTTGATTGTATTTCTGTTTATTAGAATCATAATTTTTATACATGTTATTCACCATTTCTTACAAACAATGGTGATGAAATCTTTTTTCAGTTTTTTATTGTCTAAAAATATTTTTAATAAATAAGGCCCAACTGAACCACTGTTTAAAGCAGGGTTGAACTCCACTCACTCACTCAACATTGGCTCATGACATAATCAAATTCATTACTGTTTGTCCTTTCGATGGTTGGAGCCGTGAGAAACTGAACTGTAAACTGCTGAGGTAGAATACAACCGCTTCTGTGCTAGAATATTTTATTTGCCATTTTGAGGATTTTGGAAATATTTAGTAGTACTTCATTATGAAACTCTACTGAAACATTGTTTGGTAAAATGTAGTTGTTTTCAATACTTGTTTAATTCTTGATTGTTTTGTGTATTGTTACCCAACCGTTTTCATTGATGATATTTGGATGATTGTCTTGTTTTGAGAACACATATATGTGAGGCTACACTATTTGTATATTTTAGGGATATAGATGTTTCGTTTGGTGAGGTAAAAAAACCACTAAAATCGTGTAGCTCTGTATGTTTTTATCTTATTTGGCATATTGTTGTTTTGGTCAGTCATTTTATTGGGGAAAAATAAGAACTTATTTTTTTATGAAGACCAGGGTATTTTAGGCTTAAAAAAGGATAAAAGAATTTATTCTCAGGCAATGACTTTTGAAATTATAGTACGGGCGGGTGTTTTTTGTTGTTGTTTTTTTCGTGTTAAAACAAGTACATGTATGTAACAAAATGAACAGTTGTGTACCAACAACCTGGGAAAGGGCCTCCCTACATGAAGAAGTATGCATGTAAAGGGAAGTAACTGCGTGCTATATTGGATCTCATTGTTATAAGTATTAGGATTTTTTAGTTTTTGGGGAAAATGGAAATTAAGGAAACATGCGGCAGACTACACCTGAGAGAACATACTGTGATTTCTCTGTAAGGTGTTTCCAGAGTGACCAGAGGCTTATTACATACATTTAATTAATAATTATTAAAATACTCTATGTTTGATGTTTTTTGGTGATATCTTTATATTTGTCTTACCCATCACGAAAAAGAAAAGACGAACAAATCATTCAAGTCTTAAAAACCTGAACCTGAAAAACAAGTGTGGCCTTAGATTACACCTTTTCAAAATTTATTGTAACACTTCAACAAGATGATTTCTGATTCAAAGCCTATATCTTGAATCTGATGAGTGGTTTCATTTGGTTAAATGATGTACTAGCAGATCGAGAGGGGGGATGCAGGGGACAAACACACTCCTATTTCCAGACACCTTACATGTTAACCGCGCCCTTGTCCAAGTTACTTCGTGATATGGTTAGGAGCAAACACCCCTCCCCCCTTTTTTCAAAATCGTGGATCTTTCTAGGTGATGCATGAATTGTTAAATGGCATTTGCTGTTCCACTGACATACATTTGGAGGAAGGGGGTAGTTATTTAAGATTAAAAGGATTTGCAGAGAGAAACAATTACGGTCGGCAAAAACCACACAGGTTCGGGGTGAATGTGGAGAGAAAACTACACACATATTGGTAGGGTCGTGAAAAAGTGGGCATGTGGGGAGGGTTGAAAAGGAATTACTTGTTTTCCAGGTTATCTTTTTCAGTTCATTCCCCTTTTTATAAATAACCAGTCACTGAAATTCATGCATTTATCACTACATGTCAACTGCATTTGTTATTAACATTTGTACATTGCAACTGTCACTCAAGATCACATCTCATTGATGACATTTATAGATAACATGTTTTACATAGTTTTATATCTTTTCTATTTTAGGTAAGAGTAATTTTACAAAATCCAACTGTTGATGTACACTACACGCCTCGACAATGTTGATGAACCCTGAACAATGCCAGCCAATGAAATAAGGCTCGCAATCAGGGACCGATGATAACAACATTGTGTGTGTTAACTGATCTATTTATTATTTTGTTGTCCATCTACTAGTAAGGTAGTGTAATTTATTATTTGTAGATTTTGAACAATTGTATATTCTTAACGGGTATATTTTTTATTAATATCCAAAATAATAATATTGCCATATGTTGTAATGTTGCAGGACACTTGGACAGTTTGAGATTTTAGATGTTATTTTCAGCATTGATATTGAGAATAATATTTATTATGTTCATGACTGATTTAATGCTTATGTCTGCCTATGGTATTAATCTATGGTTTAATGAATTACTTTAATTCTTGTGATTGCTGTCTTTCTGGGTGTAAATTCCTGGTAATAATAGAAGTGGGAGATGCCCACGTAAAATTGTACAGAGGATGGAGCATGGAGGGTTCCACTATAGATTGTCAGTAGATACGATGTGTAGGAACACACAGTGTTTGTGTGTATGTGTCGTCAAAATAGAGATGATGAAAATAAATCCATATTTATACTGTCTCCTGCTGGCCTGTTTTCATTGATAGAAGACGCCTCATCAGAATGCTGTTTGTTTGTTGTTTAACGCCGCACTCAGCAATATTCCAGCTATATGACGGCGGTCTGTAAATAATCGGGGGCGGTCGGGTAGCCTTGTGGTTAAAGCGTTCGCTTGTCACGCCGAAGACCTGGGTTCGATTCCCGACATGGGTACAATGTGTGAAGCCCATTACTTGTGTCCCCCGCTGTGATATTGCTGGAATATTGCTAAAAGCGGCGTAAAACCATACTCACTCACTCACTCACTCACTCACTGTAAATAATCGAGCCTGGACCAGACAATCCAGTGATTAATATCATGAACATCGATCCACACAATTGGGATACGATGACATGCATCAAGCAAGTCAGCGAGCCTGACCACCCGATCCGGTTAGTCGCCTCTTACGACAAGCATAGTCGCCTTTCACGGCAAGCATGGGTTGTTGAAGACCTATTCTACCCCGGATCTTCACGGGTCGGACGCTAGGTAGCCCGTGCAGCGTACGTTCTTTACGTTACATCCAGAACACCAAGACTTTCTAAGGTTGTTCCCCAAAACATCTACATGCCAAAACGTCCATACTTCGTTAAAACAACAAAGGTTGTTTTTTTACTGCTGTATTGGAACAACAATAGCAAGTGACATCTTGAACTGGAATAGTTAACAACATTGCCGGATTCAGCCACGATCGCATCACCAGAAGTTGCCGGCGACTTCTACGATTATATAGTTATCATTGGGTCGGCGATGAAGCAACGTTTCCCCTCTATCTAAGAATCAGTAAGAGAAAGCTCAAGCCACTTGGCAGTCCTAGAAAGTTTGAGTCAAGTCGTTCAAACACCGATATATTTGTCTGGCGCACCAGGTGTGTTTTATAAAAAAAACCATTCTTGTAGTTAATCCGAATTCTGATTACGCACAGGGAACGCCATAAGGACAAGGACCACAGTATCTCCTTAATTTATTAATTAAGCAAAGGTTTTAGAAACTACAGTAAAGTACGGTTATAACGAACTCAAAGGGACTACTCATTTTAGTTCGTTATAAGCATATATACAGCATAACTACAGCAAATAGTCTGGACCAAAAAAGTAAGTTCGTAATATCCGTCAGTTCATTATAAGCGAGTTCGTTATAACCGTAGTTTACTGTATTATGATAGTTATCCGATGTTAGGAATAAGACCTAGGCTTTTTGTCGGTTCAACAGTTGCATTTTGCGACCCATGACAACACTAAATTAAAAAAGATAGGGAGAAAATGTGTCAAAAAGGTTGAATTTACCGGTTTTTCAGTCAGAGATTTTCTAGTTTTTGAACATGAGCAAGTCTTTGTCCCAAGCTGATTTTCAAAGGCGACTCATGAGGGTTTCCAGGATTTCGGTCCTGCCCCACACCGAAGCCGATGTAACACATGTGGTGTTTCTTTAGGCAATGGTATTGTTCGAAATATGCCTCACTCACTCCACAGTATATGGGTACTGTTGACCTTCTTGCGCCTTAGAGTCAGTTTCGGTTGTATACTCCCCAGAGAGCGGAGGATGAAAATCAAGATGTTGTTTTGGGAGCATTAGAAAACATACACATTATCACTAGTGCTGAAATTATGTATCTTTCGAACCACACGATAGCACAACCTAAAGGGTAGACTCCCTCATAGAGGTAGAGGGGTCTACTGTATGTTGAAGATATCCATTACCGATTGGGTCTAAATGTGGGAACTTACTTCACTTATTGGGGGCACGGGTGGCACAGTCGTCTAAGGCGCAGCGATTCCATGTGCAGAGTTGCGTCCCTTGGGCACGCCAGAAACCTATGATTGTGGGTTCGAATCCCGGTTCGCCCCGATTATGTTTCTAGGTTTGTCAGCACCATACCCGTGCTCGTGGGTTTCACCGAAGTTGTAAACGTCTGAGACCTGCATCACTTCGGGCTTTCCTCCCTCATTAAGCTGACATGCCGCGATATAACTGGAATACTGTTAAAAGCGGCGTTAAACCCAACTCACTCACTCACTACTTCAATAATGTTATACTTAAGATTATAATAAACAAAGCCACAGTTTTTCAGTTCAGAAGTGATCAATATTTGTATGTGCTATGTTAATGTGACGATTCCTACATAATTTATATTCTGGGGGAAGATCGCGGTACATGTACATGGATATCCGTATATTTGACTCTCACCAAGAAGTTGAAAGCCCTATTTATTTTCCATACTGACGTAGTTTCACGGTGATAGTTTCGGAAAGCAAAAATATGTTCATTGAAGTTAAGCATTTCAGTAAAAGTACTTTACACTTTTCCTCAGATTATTACACAACGTATCATTATAAATATTCAGTATATAGTTGTCAGTGTTTATCTTCAAAGGTGCCCAGTTCAGTGGTAGTATTCACCCGTTCGTTCTCGAAGGGAGATAACTGACGTCGTCGCGAATATTAAAGTCAACGGTCCTTTCATGTGCTGGAGGAAACAATACAACAAACGATTTGTGTTCTATATTACATGTTTAATGTAAACTTTGGGTTTTCCGAAAAATACCGTACATCGCCAATCTATATATAGTGTCGTTTCACTCTTATCACTGACCAAATAACATTAAGCGTTATATACTCGGATACACAACATTCCCTATTCACTCCAGTTTGAGCAGATTCTGACGATCATCTCTACAGGTAAGTTCAATGTTTATATCCTTCTGTTTTACCTCGTGACCACAGGCTATATTACTTTCGACATGACATATTTCATAACGATTATGTTATGAAGTTTATAGTTTGTAAATTAGCTCTCTCAGAAATCCGTGTACGATAGCATACGAACTTAACAGTCGTAGTTCAATGTCTTGTTCATTCATGGACAGCTTTCGAGTGTACACCGGGTAGGTTGTCCTCGTTTCGCATGACAGCGTCGGGTGTACGTGGTGTCTCAAGTAGATACACGCTGACATTTGAGAACACAGGTAAACAGGAGGAAAAGAAACTAGAACACAACTTGCTTATTCGTAGACTGTCTGACTTAAGATTGCTTTTGGCGTTACACGGTATCTTAATTAAATGGGCGAGTGAGTATAGATTTACGCTATATTAAGCAATATTCCAGCAATATCACGACAGGGGACACCAGAAATGGGCTTCACACATTGTACCCATGTGGGGAATCGAACCCGGGCCTTCGGCGCGACGAGCGAACGCTTTATCCAGTAAGCTACCCCACCGCTCCTATCTTAATTAAAGGCGGTCTCCATACTCAGCTTTCTGGTGCCAATTGTCAGTACATGACTAGATGTAGGAATTAGTTCTGATGAGAAACTGACACAATTTATCTACTTTATTAGGTTGTCAATAATTCTTAAGTTCATATACGCCATGACATCTGAATAAGCAGACAAAGACAGACCTGTTTAAACGACCTATCAAACTTGCTTAGACTGCCAATTTGTCCTATCCTAGTCTAATCAACGAGTCATTTGAGAAGGGTCCCACAAAGATCGTAGCCGCTGTTGTGAAACGCTTGTGGTATTGTATATACTACGATCATATGTCAACGGGGTGGGGTTGAAAGGTGGTCATTTAATTACTGCCAACTTCATTCAAACCTGGAGCCCTTCTTTAAAACATTTTGTAAATCACTAAGGTGTCCAATCACGTTGAAATCGGATCTTAGTTCTCACTACCGTTTTGTTTAGCGGTAGCGAGAACTAAGATCTGATTTTAATGAAATTGCTAAGGGGTCCTTTTTTGTTTTCTCATTGAGATTAAGACCAGATAACATAACTTTCAAACGACAGGAATCACGCTGATCCGTGACTGCGAGTGTTTCTTTGTTAATGTGGTCGCTGATCGCACTGCTTACAAATAAGTGTCAATGCACCTGCAGCTTAACGCTCATATATAGAGCTCGTTGACTCATCGATACGGATCAAAACAATATGTTCGAGAAGGAAGTGTCAGATCTATTTTTAACTCATTTTATCAGTTATGCTGTAACGGTAATAACGGGTATTGGGCATTGTGGATAATACCCGCCAAGATTGACCCTAAACGTACATCGACCTCCAACTAATGTAAAAAGAGTAAACTACGGTTATAACGAACTCGAAGGGGCCACTCATTTTAATTCGTTATAACCGTAGTTCGTTGTAAGCATATGGACAGCATATATATATATGGTCGGGACCAAACAATATGATCGTTATACCCGTCAGCTCTTTATAAGCGTGTTCGTTATAAACGTAGTTTAATGTAGACCTTTATATTTCTTATTTTGTTTCTAAGTATAAACATCTCTGAAACATACATTTGGCAGTGATAGTTACATATCAATGTATATCAATACCTAATATCAATTTCAGAAATCCTTTACTCAGGCATGGAAGCGACAAACTGAAAACAGGACATCATGAGTTTTAAAGAAGTCCCCCCTAACGTGTGAGTTATTCCTTCGAGTAATTACACCCGATATCTATTGTTAAAGTATTACGAAATGTTCTATTTTAATTTTCTTGTAATAATTATTATTTGAATTATGTGTATTGCAACTTTTAACGAATATGATATGTTTAAGTTTTAAAGAGAGAAAAAACAGATCAGAACGCATATTCACAGTACATAACTACAACGAGTTCATGCCTTCCATTGTCTGCCTTACTGACGTTAACGACTCAAACGGGTCAAACAGACATTATCACACACAACTCCCACACATGGAGATAAAAGAGGCTATAAAAGGTGCATGAAACAACTTCCTCTGTCAGACAAAAGAGACGCAATGACTTTCTGTTTGATAATCAGCTGTGGTGTTAACAATGACAATCCAAAGGAAGTGGAGGTGTGGAGATATACTACTTTTACCTTAATCAGTGTTTGAAATACCTGCCTGCCCGACCATCCGAGACGGGTTGATTTCAACTCGGGCTGCCAGATTTTCAAATCCCCCTGCCCGACGGTCGGGTTATATTTCATAGGTGAAAATATTCTAAATATTTCCCGATGATAAGCATTAATTCACATGTAAAGATGAATGATAAAATGTAACCAAAAAGAAACCCCGTTAGCTTATCCTGAGAAACATATGATTATAGTGGGCAGGCAGGTTTTGGTCAGGGCTGGCAAGTATTTCAGCTAGCCAGTCCTGTGGTCTGGCTGAAATTTTGGGGAGTTTCATACCCTGCCTTAATTAAATTAAGCTTAAAATGTTCAACTGAACCTTTTACAAAACATGGTGGCACATGTCGTTGCACCCAAACTCATACCCGAAGTGCAGAAAATACGTGTGCATTTAAAACACTCGAATTCGACAGTCACAATGGAAAGCGTGTCTCACTTCCATGAATATTTTCCCATTATAATGATCCATATTTGCAAACAATGATAACATGTCGTGAAATAATATGCCGGGGGACGTACACTTTTGTATCAACAAAATAATGACCATTCATTTGCCAGTTTACCATTCCTTCTGTAAAAGTGAGGGAGTTGAAAGAAAGCGGCAATTGTTGTCAGCTGACCACACCACTGTGTATATGCACTAATACACTAAGTACTACACGGTTAACTAGCCGTGAAATGGGTGGTATGTAGTTGTGCTTTGACACCACGCAAAGTCAGCATGGTTGAATTTCTTTATCGAGTCTAATGCAACTTAGTTTTTTAATTTCCTGTCGACCCTGTCTCTGCAATGCTATATACTAAGAACACCCAATTATTTCATACTACCAAAGACGTATATAGATCTATATACATATTTGATATTACTGTGGATAGTATGTAATGAGGGGGCACGGGTGGCCCAGTCTTCTAAGGCGCAGCGATTCCATGTGCAGAGATGCGTCCCTTTGGCACGCCAGAAACCTATGATTGTGGGTTCGAATCCCGGTTCGCCCTGATTATGTTTCTAGGTTTGTCAGCACCATACCCGTTCTCGTGGGTTTCACCGAAGTGGTAAACGTCTGAGACCTGCATCACTTCGGGCTTTCCTCCTACATTAAGCTGACACGCCGCTATATAACTGGAATACTGTTAAAAGCGGCGTTAAACCCAACTCACTCACTCACTATGTAATGACTATTACAGATTAAATCTAGTAATATGAAAGACTCGGGCGTTCTTTAACTTATTGTGAGAAGTAATATAGGAACAGCATGTGGCTGTATGTAAAGTTTCCGTTATCCCCCGAACACTCATGTGAGCATCATGACTGGGAGAAAGGAATTTATTCAAACTGACTTCATAGTATCCGTAGTACTGACCATATATCGAGCTCTCCGTAGTTCGAGATAAGCGGAGTGCCAATATAAAACCACAGTTATCTGTGTTGCTGTCAGGGATGTTGACGAGGTTGATTGCCCCCCGCTGACGCCAGAACAACTCCGACTGCTGGAGACTGACAACGAATACAACTTCTTCCACACCCGCCGCGGTCGCGCCATCATCATCAACAACATCAACTACATGACGGAAACTGGAAACAAGCCAAGGTCGGGGGCGGAACACGACACAAGCAGACTGTTAAAGATTTTTGCAAATCTGCTGGAATTTGATGTGCAGATATGGAAGGATCTCACAGCTGGGGATATGGTCACAAAAATTGAAGAAGGTGAGAAACCTGACGCAACACACACACACACACACACACACACACACACACACACACACACACACACACACACACTCTCTCTCTCTCTCTCTCTCTTCCTCAAGGGAGTTAACTGAGTTTAAAAGTCCAATTTCCACCTGGACTTTTAAAGTCAGTTAACTCCCCTGCCTCGGGAAGATGCATCAGTCTGGACCAGTACAAGCAGACACCCACCCATACGTCGCTATATAAGTGCAATAACCTTGGACGCGACGTTAAACCCAATTCCACTTCACCTCACCCCCCTGTATGGATGTGTGTGTTGCCTCTTAACATCTTTACATGCTAGTTCCATTGTTTGATGTATTGTTTAACGCCTCACCCAGCAATCTTCCAGCCATAATAAGCGAATCTGGACAGACAAACCATTAATTGCTATTGTGAGAAACGATCCACGTCATCTGAGTTCATTAACATGAAATTATCGAACCTGACAACAAGTTCATTTGGTCGCCTCTTACGTCCAGCATAGATTACCTGGGAAAATATTATATCGGTTTCCTGATGAGCGGATCCGGACTGTATGGGTATTCTTGGATCTTTTATGCCACGATCAGCACTATTCCAGCTATATTACGGCCACCTGTAAGAAATCGAGTCTGGGCCAGTCAAACCAGAGGTTGATATTATGAGAAACGTCGGGGTGGAATGACACGCATCCAACCCCATACGTCACCGAGCCTTTCATCCGATGTGATTCGGTCGTCTCTTACGACCCGTGAAGATCCGGGGAAGAATAGGTCTTCAGCAACCCATGCTTTCCGTAAAAGGCGACTATGCTTGTCGCACGAGGCGACCAACGGGTTCGGTTGGTCAGGCTCTCTGACTTGGTTGATGCATGTCATGGCATGGCTCGATGCTCATGATGTCAATCACTGGATTGTCTGGTCCAGATTCGATTATTGACAGACTGACGTCATGTAGCTGGAATATTGCTGAGTGCGGCGTTAAACAACAAACACACAAACAGTCGTCTCTACCAACAAGCAATATGGTGATGATAGTCGGAGTTCACAGCGTGGGGGAGTGATGCATGCATTTTAATAACCCACTTCACAATTTCAGCCGCTTCTAACCGGTACTACGACCACACCAACGCCGACTGCTTCCTTTGTATCATCCTGTCTCACGGCGGGGAGGAGGATGACAGACACGGCATCCCCCACGACATCCTGCACGGCGTGGACGGCAGCATTGTGTACACACGCGACTTGGTGAATCTGCTCCGCGAAAAAAAATGCCCTCAGCTCAAAGACAAGCCTAAAATCTTCATTATTCAAGTAAGTGTGCCTCTCTGTCATGGTTCCGCGACCAAATAAAAGGTTGATCGGTGAAAATAATATCACTGAAAATAATCATCAGATAATAACCGAACCGATGTAAAACGCCTGTAAATAAACCTACATTTATTAAATTTTTTTAACAAATTCACACTGGAATATAATGCAGAGGTTACCGTTACTTTGTAATTATAGTCAGTGGTGTAGACGTAATAAATTCTGATTTTATTCATCCCCGGTCATGTGTCATGCATCAACCAGATTCTCCACATCGTTAGTACCCGTGAAGATCCGGGGTAGAATAGGCCTTCAGCAACCCATGCTTGCCGTAAAAGGCGACTATGCTTGTCGTAAAAGGCGACTAACGGGATCGGGTGGTCAGGCTCGCTGACTTGGTTGATTCATTTCATCGATCCAAATTGCGTGGATCGATGCTCATCATGTCAATCACTGGATTGTCTGGTACAGACTCGATTATTTACAGACCGCCGCCATATAGCTGCGTTAGCGGCGTTAAACAACAAACAAACAAACATCGTAAGATATTTACGGTGAGGATCGACCGCGTTGATTATAAGTTATCTCCCTTATACTTTATCTGCATCTCGTATACTTTTGCATAGGATCGTTCCACCTACTTAACTACGTTCAGATTCGTTAAAGCCCAGTCTCAGCTATTCCATGCTGTACACCCCTCCGAATTATTTCTGATCAAATTTAATTGGACCAGTTGTGTATGTTGTGTATGTAGTTAAAATATAATTACGTTTGGACATAACATATCCATGCCTGCCCTCTCATCTATTTCCCTGTGATTTCTGTTAAATAGTGTTGAACGCAACACAAAACCCATTTCACCTCACCTCACCTCCTCACTGTACGTAGTTTCTATTCCTTCAAAATGAATTGGATTTTGGACCCGTGAAGATCAGGGTTGGAATAGGTCTTCAGCAACCCATACTTGCCGCTACTTTGGTTGATGCATGTCATCGTATACGGGTTTCGTATATCGATGATCATGATGCCAGTCACTGGATTGTCTGGTTCAGACTCGATTATTTACAGACCGCCGTCATAAAACTGCAATATTGCTGAGTGGAGCGTTAAACTACAAAGAAAGAAAGAAAAGCATTTGCTTTTGGGATAAACAAATACACCTCAAATGAAAACCCCAGACACATTTAACTAAACCCGCATTGCTAGGTAGTTGAAGTTGAATGTTTGAATTATAATTTAAAGAAATATTTAGGGTTCTAATTAATAACCAGCACTCTAACAATTTTGCGTTAAGTGCTTCTGAAGAAAATAGCATAGTTTGATCATTAATAACATAACCACAGTTACTAATAAGAAAGTTAAGAATGTTCAAAGTCATAAACATTTGGGTATAGCATTCGCATCAAACGAAAAATGGTCCTGTCACGTAGATAACATAATAAATCAACATAAAAAATGATATTAAATTCAATGAGAAAATTAAATTCATATTAAACAGAAATACATGAAATAAAGTATATACAATTTTCATAAGACCCCATTCGAATATGCGTGTGAAGTGTGGGATGGGTGTAATATAGAATTATCAACTCAGTTAGGAAATCTCCAGCTAGAAGCTGCCAGAGTAGTTACTGGGCTCCCAAAGTATACTTCGCACACACATCTGTATTATGAAACAGGATGGGAAACGTTAATAGAACGAAGGAGGAAACGTAAGCTATGTTTGTTCTACAAAATGCAAAGTTATATTGCTCCAACTTATCTTAAAGACATTGTACCAACCACTGTAGGTTCAAATATATCATATAATTTAAGAAATTCAGACAATACTGTGATTCAATATACAAGATTAAAACACTCAACGTGTTCTTTTATTCCATCAACTGTAAGGTTATGTATTGCACCTCAATATTTTTCCTATGGTGTTAGAAAGTTGAATATTTATCATACCCGATTAAGATACATGAAAAGCCAGTTAAATTATTACATATACCGAATACAGATAAAATGTGATTTAATATGTCAATATGGTAACCCTTGTGAAAACTCATTTCATTATTTATTAGAGTGTCCATTGTATGTCCACCAAAGAAAACTATGTTAATAATAATTCGGGACATTTTACAGAACGCCGTGAACAACAATGTTAAATTAGATTTAAGTTTGATGTTTGTCCATTATCGAAAATTAACTTATCTTTAAGGCAGTGCAAATGTTTATTAATCATACAAAGAGATTCGGGTAACACATTAATGTAAATATACTAGTCTCTCCTCTGAACATTTCTTTTATATCTATACACTCATCTTCTTTTCTGTTTTCCTTCTATGTGATTTACTGTACAGGTTGTTGTAAATACCATGGAAAGGGAGTCCTAAGTTGGATAACTTGTTCCCAATCCATTTCAATCTGAATAAAATATGCTTAAACTAACTACTAATAACACCACAGTTACATATACAGATACATATCAATTGGTCATTCTTTTCCTATGACTGCAGAGCTCCAGATAAGCTGCGTATCTGCGTGAAATACGCATCAGAAATGCAGAAATACACAGTAAAATATAATCCAAGCGTATCAAATACGCAACGAACATTACAGATACGCTACAAAAATAAAATTTGTACGTATCATCAAAATATTGTGAAGTAACCCTTCGTATTCGATAAGCAAATCAGCAACTCATTTTGAAATTATAAACGGGCATTCCGTCAACCTTGCCAAACTCCACGATGACAGTCACATCATGATCATTTGCCATCACACTTTCGTGTGGAAGTATCGTGGTATTTTTGAGTCCTATAAAGCTCTCAAACCCACACGACACCAGTTTGCAGGGACTAGATGAATAGTGTTTTTAAGTATTTAACTTAAATACCCACATGAGTAAAAACTAGTGGGTAACAGAAATTTGAATACGCAGATAGAATTACTGATACCCAATGATTTTAAAATGCATGGGTAAAATACACACAACACCAAACGCTTATCTGGAGCTCTGTTATGACTGTAGTTCGGTGTATTGATTTACAGGCGTGTCGAGGCGATTACCTGGACAAGGGCCAGGAGGTCATTGTCCAGACGCCCGTCATCCCCGGGAAACACATACATCGGAGGGTCACGGTGAGAGGTGAAGACGACGCCTCGCAACCCTACGAGAGTCGAATGAGAAGTTTCAGCGATCAGAGTGAAGACATAGTTGTCTCCCCTACCCCGCTCTATAAGGACTTCTTGGTTGTTTACGCAACTCCGCCAGGTGAATATGAGAATTATAACCTAGTGTGTTCCCAATGTGTCCATAGTCGATTGTTGATCATGATTATGAATATATATACAAATACAATTGTCCAAGTGCTTATGGTCGTCAAAATAATTTGCAGGGGGAGAGATTTTAAACACTTCAGTCAATGTGTGAAATGATATCTGCTCCTCTGCGATCGACCAACTGTTATTGAAAAGCGAACACTTTCTCCTAATGTTACGAATGTTTTGATTATTACTGTTACAAAAATATCTCAGAACATATTATATGAAAGGCTAAGTTCCTGTAAACGAAAGAACGTTTTCAATTTTTGAATGTTTTTGCAATCCTTTTCAGCTAAACAGATAAAAGTCTGCAAAGTTCACGAGTAATATCACTAACTCACTAAAATCGTCTACCATTACACCATCCTCAAACATGTGTGTCACTCATGTTGTCACTCGTTGTCGTCGCCTTGTCGGGGAGAGGTTTTTTAACATAAAAAGACGAGGTAAACGATAACAAAACAACGATTTGCGCGTGTAGGATATTCCCTAGTTTGTCATACAGACCCTAAAACAAATACAGCCCATGCAAGTCTATAATATGTGGCAAGTCTAGATTACTGAAAATGAAGAGAGTCTCTTGCCTCCATTTTGTTATATTTTTATAACAATAATTTAACAATTGTTTTTATCTGTAAGACGTGTTCATTACATAGACTAGATGTCAGTCCAGATATTCCCATGTGCACAATGAATAACTAACATTCTCTAAGCATTTCAACCAAGACTTGAATAGTTGTAACATTTCTCCTAAGGATTTTAACAGTAGAAAACCAGTCCACAACACACATATTCCTTCCATGGTACAAACTGCCATGGCGCCCAGATTCGACAGGGTGAACAAAATAACCACAGTAATATAACGACGCGATATTTATCATTAACATTCGGTAAAAACCGATTACCTTCGTTTTCGAGATACAGTAGTCCGATATGCAGGTCTGAATGTAAATGTACGCTTACATTCGTGACCAACTCGTGTTATTCCGAAACAAGCCGAATAGCGACTCGTGCCCCTCTCATGGTCATTTTTGCGACCGAGTTACGTCTTAGCGCAAACGGGCATACCTAAAACAATTGTCAACTCGTTGCGTAATGGTACACATGTATTTCCCCATATATTATATATATTTCAGATGCAATTTAAAGCACATCGGGACGTGCGGAATTATACAGTATGATTGAACACATTTAACTGTGTCTTGGGTATATTTTTAGATTCAAGACATATGTAAAATCAAAAAGATTCTGAGGGATTCTTTGACGAAGAACTTAAAATCATACGCGCATTCTGATTGGTTTGTCGTATTTTCGCACATTACATTCATCGACAGGGGAACGAGTCTTCTTGCATGGTACGCTTAGTCTCTGAAAAGGTATACTTTTGATAGAAACGAACAACTCCATTTACATTGAAAAGTAGCCCCTGTGGGATGGGATGTTGAACCTGTAGAAAATCTGGACTTGCATCATGTAGCGTAGACTAACATCTGGTGTCTGAAATGAACAGATAAATGGTTAAATTATAGTTCTAAAATACAGTCAAAAGGATCCAAGAGACTTTCTTCATTTTCAGATACTGCAGTAATCTAGACTTGCCACATATTATAGACTAGCAAGGGCTTTATTGGATATATTTGTTTCAGGGTCTTTATGACAGACTACACATAGGGCTATAGCATTACAGTAAGGAATGGGTTGAAGGGAAAATAGTATGGTTCAGGGACTGTGAGACAGACCAATCAGAATGCTTCGCTCATTCGTACCGATACTTTAGAAGCCCCGACGCTGATTGGCCGATTAGAAAGCTCTTACGAAGGTGGCGTCTTCACACAGAGGTATCCTAACGGAGTAAAAGATCTCATTTTAATGAGATTGCGTACGCATGATTATCAGATTCGGCTTTACTAAAAATAACTTTTAAAATCTTTCACATTCATTTTGGTTCAGTGCATTCGTAAAAGAAATAATAAAAAAATAACTTGTAGCATACTTTTTTTCATAGGGTACTCTGCTTGGAGGGGCAAGTATGGGAGTTATTTCATCCAGTATCTGGAGGAGGTGTTCGAGTCAATGCACCAGGAACACGTCCCTCTTGTCCGCACGCTCACCAGGACGAGTCACAAGATGGCTGTGCACTTCAAGTCCAGGACGACGGACTCCACGGGGGGGATGAAGCAGATGCCTTGCATCATGTCCATGCTGACAAAGGATGTGTGTTTCAGACAAAAACCCGTTAGAGTGTGATCACTGGGGCACTGAGATATTGACACTTCTTGGGTTTTTTAAGTAGCGAAATTGCCACTAGCTGTTTAATTTGTGAAGACCGCCTCCGTGGTCTAGCGGGAGAGCGTTCGCCCGTAGAACGGAAGGTCCGGGTTTCGATCCCCGGCCACGTGATACCAAAAGACGTTAAGAGAAGGTACTTGTTGTTACCCTGTCTGGCGCTCGGCATTTAGGGGCAAAAAGGACTGGTCAGCTCGGAGTCAGTATACTGTGTCTGAGTGGGGTATTCATGTTAAACTGCGGCATGGTATCTCAGTGTGCTAGCACTATAAATCGACATCAGTCCGGACTAGTACAAGCAGCCACATACACACACACGTGCACAATCTTGGACGCGACGTTAAACACCATTTCATCTCACCTTAATTGTGAAAGTTATCACATCTAATTCATTGTTTCATGTATCTTCACTGTTTCTCACATTTCAAATCAATCTGGTTACCCGCCTCCATCCTGCTCCATCCACGCATCACAAGAAGGTTCCAGTTGTTGTCTTTGATCACCTATTAGTTGTTTTAATTGTGAACATGACACAATCATTTTTGTTTGTAAAGTTAACCGAAGTCGTTTTGTTTGTGAAAATGACACTGGTTGTATTATTTGTTAAATGAGGTCTTTGCTGACCCTATAGGGTAGATATTGTTGAATCTATGACTATGCCCCTTCTTGTTGTGCTGAGTTGCGTCCCTCAGCCGCCCCAGGATCCGACGATCGCGGGATCGACTTGATTTGTTAGCCCCCTACCCATGTTCGTACGACCTGCGTCTCTTCACTGCCATGCACATGCCCACAGGTTTTACGAGACTGGTTTGACAGTTGTTTGACAGTTGTTTGACAGTTTTTTGACATGCCTTGATATAACTGAAATAGTGCTCAAAGTGGAAATAAATGGCAACCCACTCCATGTTCGTGCTCATTTGCCATTACCCTTCCACAATGACGCCGAACTGCTAATGACATAAATACCATTTCCATAACATAGGTATCTAATAACAACAACAACAACAACAATAATAATAATTTCTAATGGAATACTGGTCTTTTACAACATAGTCACCTGATGCAAATCATTCCTTTTACGATAGTTTCTGGTTCTTCGAGTTAAGGCGGTTTCACCACGAACCTATAGGTGCGTGGTTTCACTATACCCATGATCTAGTGGAGCGTAAGTATACGATTTGCAGATTGCCTACACTAGTGATAAGTATCTCTGACATAGCTACCTTGAACATAAGTATTTAGTTTTTGCAGGAAATCGAAATGCTGAAGAATAAATCGAAGAGCCTGGAGAGGCTAATTTGGAAATATGTGGAGATGTTTTTATAAAGTTTTCGACATCATTACATCAACCTTCTGTTTTCTGAATGGGATATCAAGTTTATCACGACAATGCCACAGCATAGTATTCAGCGTAAATTAAGCATTGGAGTTAACGCCATACAGCTAACAGGAATCGGAAGTACTGATTAAGTAGAAATTATTTGTTTTTGCTACACCCCTCTCTCTTCCAATTAAAATAATGAAATAGTATGTCTTTCCAGTATGAAACACCCCTCACAAAAGATATAACGGTTCATTGCTATAATAAAACTAAAGATTCCTGTGCACAAACCCACAATCGTACAGGGGCGGTCGGGTAGCCTAGTGGTTAAAGCGTTCGCTCGTCACGCCGAAGACCCGGGTTCGATTCCCGACATGGGTACAATGTGTGAAGCCCATTTCTGGTGTCCCCCGCCGTGATATTGCTGGAATATTGCTAAAAGCGGCGTAAAACCAAACTCACTCACTCACTCACTCACAATCGTACACACCACTGTGGATACACTCCCTCCGCTGTACATAATAATGACTTTTTCATCAGTGTTATAGAAATACCTTCAGAATGAGTATACATGTAGATAACACCACATTGTGTCGCCCCTTCGAATACTTTTGTGTTATTGCTGACAATCCACAAACACAAACAAGTCTGAATTAAATCGGATCGTTTGTATAAACCAGGTTCTACGCTGTGATTTCTTGTAATCTGTTAGACCCTTACTGCATATGTCAAACGTTGACTATTGCCTAGGTCAGTGTTAGATCAAATGTTTTCATACAACGCACTTACAGTCAAGAATCATTTCAACGAATAATCAGTTACGTGTGATACAACGCGCAATGTTTCTGTGGCAGGGAGGGGGCACGGGTGGCCCAGTCGTCTAAGGCGCCGCGATTCGCTGTGCAGAGTTGCGTCCCTTGGGCACGCCAGAAAATCTATGATTGTGGGTTCGAATCCCGGTTCGCCCCGAATATGTTTCTAGGTTTGCACCATACCCGTGCTCGTGGGTTAAACGTCGGAGACCTGCATCACTTCGGGCTTTCCTCCCACATTAAGCTGACACGCCGTGATATGACTGGAATACTGTTAAACCCAACTCACTCACTCACTCACTGTGGCAGTGAAGGTGTACAAGTGACGTGAAAAGTTTACATTATTTTATGTGCGCTTCAAAACACCGTGATCGATTGCGGTTGCAATTTTACAACACCGGAAGGGAAATGAAAAGAAACGTCTAGATATTTTATGTGCACTTTAAACCAGATAAGGGTCATCTGTCTTAAGGACTATATTAATAAAACATCATGAAACGTGTCCGTCCAATATGAATATAATACCGTGTAATAATAGAGACTGTGTATCATCACATTAGCATGTTGTGTACGGGTGTTACATTCCTATCCTATAGTTTCCACATCGTATTGTTTTGTTTGTTTGTTGTTGAACGCCGCACTCAGCAATATTCCACTTCGTACTTAATTGGCATTTCTATTGTAAACCTAGAAGCAACAGAAACTCTACCCCACAGTTTATCATATGTTTGATTTTCAATTGAAGTTAGCGATATAATATCCAAACAATTAACTGTACAAGCGACTAGTCAGCGCTCAAAGAATACTTCTACATGGTTTCATTTTCAAAATAAAATTTGATTTATTTTTTTGTATCTCAAATTACAAAACTACAAATTGGTATCTTGGACATTTCATCTTTGAAAATCAATAAATTTGCTTTTTTCATCACACCCAACATTTCAAGCATGGTAGTGGTCATGTGGTTGCAAATTCATTTCGTACCCCATTGATCGAAATTATTTTTACACAAAATTACCCAACTACTGCTTATTTTCTACGAACTGTTGTATGAATGAGTGCTGGTTAAATCGCCATATTCAGATTTAACAACAGTTCTTTCAATTTTTAATTGAAACAAACTCGCTATACTTTCTTTTGCTCATCAGTTTGTTATCACTTATCACCAGATACGTGTACTTATACTGCGATATGACGATGGTCTTTAGTCAGCCACCATACTATTTATAACACCTCTGTTAACTTCCACTTAGAGTCAGAATCAGGCTCACGTACAGCTGACTCAAACATAAACACACATGCCCATCAAATGGCCCATGGCAGTTTCCTGCATGAGTAAGTCATGCGAAACCAACAGAACACCGACTGCGCCTGTCGTCTGAACAACGCGTTGCGCTGCAGTCGAGATTAAAACTTTGAGACGTCACGTGACCGCCAATCGATTTTCCTTGGAATGCGATGCCAAGCTCCTCACGTGACGTGGTGAAGTCAAAATGGCGGAGGAATGGTAAACAAAGAGACTGAAGCGGCGATGAAGAAATAAGCTTCAAGGTTGACCTACCACGGCTTCTGACCTACAGCTTAAATAGGGCACACCAACACATATATATAGGTACGTGTTCGACTCGAAACTGCAAACATATATAACGGGCTTGTTATTTTGATCGTTTTTTATTTTGTTGATGCAATTTGTCAAAGTATCAGAAGGATGAGGATAATTTAAGTAGGAAGCTTCATGTTTATGTCGTTAATGGACCTATACTTCGCTTAGGATGTTCCAGAAACAACAAAGTCACTTGTAGTGAACACGGTATGCAATATATGCCAAAGGTTCGAGATAGCTTGTGAGTCACGCTAAAAGGAAGTGTTTATTACACTAAACCTAGTAATTAGCGGCGTGCAATTACTGTGTTATTATTGTGGATGTAGGTTACTTCTTCCTGTATGTTCTTCTCGAGCTTAGTATTCGATCCAGGGTCGTGTCATACTATATGTCTGTTGAGATATGTAACGGTCACTTAATGCATGAACGGAATTAAACGATATAGTGAGTGAGTGGTGTTTACCGCCGCATTCTCCAGTGATGTGACGAGTCCGCGATTGTGAATGGTAATTGTCAGTCGAACAACCACGACAAACCCGTTACAGCCATACCAGTCCCCTGAATATATATTCCATAAACAGACCATTCCAATCTCATCCCCATTGTCCTTGCATCAGCCCATACCCCCCTTCTTATTCCTACCTGCCTATACTCACCCACTTCTCATCCCTATCTTCACCAACCCATGCTTGCCGTAAGAGGCGACTAACGGCATCGGGTGGTCAGACTCGCTGACTTGGTTGATGCATGTCATCATATCCCAATTGCGTGGATCGATGCTCATGATAACAATCACTGGATTGCCTGGTCCAGACTCGATTATTTACAGACCTCAGCAATATATCTGGAATATTACTGTGTGCGGCGTTAAACAACAAACAAACCCCTTCTCATCCCTATCAGCCTATACTCACCCCCTTCACAGCCCTAGCAGTCCGTGAACATCAGGGGTAGAATAGGTCTTCACCAACCCATGCTTGCCGTAAGAGGCGACTTACGGCATCGGGTGGTCAGACTCGCTGACTTGGTTGATGCATGTCATCATATCCCAATTGCGTGGATTGATGCTCATGATAACAATCACTGGATTGCCTGGTCCAGACTCGATTATTTAGAGACCTCAGCAATATATCTGGAATATTACCGTGTGCGGCGTTAAACAACAAACAAACCCCTTCTCAGCCCTAGCAGCCTATACTCACCCCTACTTAGCCTTAATGCCCTTTATTCATTCCTTCTTAGCCCTAATAGCCTTTACTCATCCCGTCTCAGTTCAGCTCTAGGCAGTTTGCGCGGGGCATCTCTTGCCGCTCGGGTATGTTTTGACGGTAGGTTGGGCGACAATGAATAATGACTGCATTATTCATGTCTGAGTCAATGCGTTATTGCCTTTTCCACAATAAACCCTGTTATATTTCCTCTGTGCTTATTGGTGCATGAAACCCGCTACAATCTTAATAGTGGTCTTTAACAGTGTAATACACAAACGCATTCTATACGACGATATTCTGATAGATAGTATTTATTTTCTTTAAACTCAACATCACATTGACTTCCTAAAGGACTCCTACACACTTTTAAAATCGCCTTAAAAGAGGACACATGAAAACGACGTTAAACCATGCGGAGAATACGTAACGTCGAGTTAATGCCAATATATATATGGAGATAACTTTTTATCTGACGCTGCACAAAGTGATGAATACAAATTTCTTATATAGCTTATTTTGTACATGTTTTCATTCATACAAATCGCGACCGCCTCCGTGGTCTGGTGGTAGAGCGTCCACCCGGAGAGCGGAAGGTCCGGGGTTCGACCCCCGGCCGCGTCATACCAAAAGACGTTAAATGATGCTTCTTGTTGTTACCCTGTCTGGCGCTCGGCATTTAGGGGCTAAAGCAAGGACTGGTCGGCTCGGGGTCAGTATACTGTGTCTGAGTGGGGTATTCATGTCAAACTGCGGCATGGTATCTCAGTGAGCTAGCACTATAAATCGGCATCAGTCCGGACTAGTACAAACAGCCACACACACACGTACACGCACGTCGCTATACAAGTGCAATAATCTTGGCCGCGACGTTAAACCCCATTTCACCTCACCTCCTACAAATCGCACAATATAGTTGTAAATTTGCCCAGTCTTCCGTCAAATTCGTCTTGTCTCTCTACCTACCATAACAAATCCCATTTTCTATTTTTCAGTTTTAAGGCATATGGGACGCATGTCTTCTATTCGTACTGCTAATATCTTGATCGACAGTCGATAGTCGATAGTAAAAAGGGAAAGTAAAAGTGAATTGTTTTTATTATTTCGTTACCAACAATCGGTTAGCTCGTATATGACAATTCACATCCCATAGCCGCTTCGCTTCGTCACCCCGTCAACCCGACCCACCACCCTCAATTGTCCGTATCAAATGCTATATGTTAAGTCAGGGGCACGTGTGGCCGAGTCGTCTAAAGACGCCGCAATTCGCTGTGCAGAGTGGCGTCCCTCGGGCAAGCCAGAACCCTCTGACCGTGGGTTTCAATCTCATTAAAACAGATGTTTGTGATGGCTACCCCTACAAAAAGACCGAAGTACTAAACTCTCAACTGCAGTCTTTCCTTCTACATCAACGGGTGGCCCAGTCATCTAAGGCGCCGCAATTCGCTGTGCAGAGTTGTGTAGAATTGCATCCCTTGGCCACGCCAGAAACCTATGACTGTGGGTTCGAATCCCGGTTTGCCCCGATTATGTTTCTAGGTTTGTCAGCACCATACCCGTGCTCGTGGGTTTCACCGAAGTGGTAAACGTCTGAGACCTGCATCACTTCGGGCTTTCCTCCCACATTAAGCTGACACGCCGCGATATAACTGGAATACTGTTAAAAGCGGCGTTAAACCCAACTCACTCACTCACTTCATATCAGGTTGACACGTCGTGGTTATAGCTGAAATACTGTTCAAAGAGGCGTGAAACTAAACTCACTCAGTTGTTATAAGTCAGCATGAAGGTCGAGCCCAGGTAAACAGTGACTATCAAACACAGGCGCGTTTGCAAGATACTGAAAAACTTGATCGAACAATAAGCTACAAACGCTGTATTTTCGAGATTGGAGGAAAAACCGTCAGCTATTTGTAATCTGGAGACGTCGCCGTCCTGATATTGATTGATCTCACTTGATGATAAGCATACTTCCGGAATTAGGCATTAGCGTTTAGTGAAGTATTCATCCCCGGACAATTGGATGAGGCCGGAGCTATCGATTGTTACAGGGCTACGTAATATGAAACATTTGTCTCAAACTACGTTAATATGAAATAGCCTCTGAACCCTTGTGCCAAGCTACGTTAATATGAAATAGCCTCTGAACCTTTGTGCCAAGCTACGTTAATATGAAATAGTATCTAAACATTTGCCTCAAGCTCCGTTAAAAACTGTAGATAATTAATAGCTATAATTACTGTATGATATACACGAGTTTCAGTGAAAATACCTTTAACCGTTTTGATACATTCCGTTTGTTACTGTTTCGTCAAACAAAATTAGTTACTACTTATTATTACAATCGAAACTGGCATAGTGTATACGTGTGGTTGCAAAAAATAATTCCAACAAGCTACAGATTCAAGCGTTGTAAATTGCGATGTCCACTACGTTGCTTGTATAATGAGTGAGTTGAGGTAAACGCCGTTGGTTATCTCACAGCGTGTCAGCTAACAACTGGAGTGAGTGAGTGAGTTGGGTTTAACGCCGCTTTTAACAGTATTCCAGTTATATCGCTGCGTGTCAGCTTAATGTGGGAGGAAAGCCCGAAGTGATGCAGGTCTCAGACGTTTACCACTTCGGTGAAACCCACGAGCACGGGTATGGTGCTGACAAACCTAGAAACATAATCGGGGCGAACCGGGATTCGAACCCACTATCATAGGTTTCTGGCGTGCCCAAGGGACGCAACTCTGCACAGCGAATCGCGGCGCCTTAGACGACTGGGTAACCCGTGCCCCCACTTACAACTGAATGTTGCACAGAGTGTAGATGTTTATCATTTTAGTAAATCCATGTGAACGGGTTTGGTGCCGAGAGGGCGAATCTGGGATTCGAACTCAAGATCAGTGGATCTTGGTATGTCAAAGGGACTCTACTCTGTACAGTGAATGTCGATACCTGTGCTCAGCCGCGGCTGCTTTGACTGAATGGAATATTATACACTTGTCGGAAGAGAAAGATCTAATTTGAAACAATTGACTTATCCCTAATATTGTCTTTTTGTTAAACATTTAAAAAGGTATGAACGCTTCAATGGCCACTGCTATATGCGGCGTAAAACCTAATTCACTCACCATGGAGGTTCATAATCAAACGGATGGCTATTGACTATTGCACTGTATGTTAAGGTGAGGTGAAATGCGGGTTAACGTCGCATTCAAGATAATTGCACTTATATATATCTACGTGCATGCATATGTGTGTGTGTGTGTGTGTATGTGTGTGTGTGTGTGTGTGTACTAATCGGGACTAATGCCTGTTTTATAATGCTAGTCCACTGAGATACCATGCAGCAGTTTAACATGAATATCCCACTTAAACACAGTATACCGACTCTGAGACGACCAGATCCTGTTTTATTCCCTTAATAACGAACGCAAGGCAGGGTAACAACAAGTACCATCTTTTAACGTCTTTTGGTATGACGCAGCCGGGGATCGAACCACCGACCTTCCGCTCTCCGGGCAGACGCTCTACCAACAGACCACGTAGGCGGGCTGTATGTGTTCAGATGTGTACAGCAATATATTTGAAAAGCAGACTGAAGGACAACATATTAATAACTCACAATTGATTCCACAAACATTTCACTCTATTCAAGCACGATAAAACTTTTTGAATAATTGAAATGAAATTTATCAGAAATACCCGTATGCAATGATTTACACGATAAATTGTCCTCAAACTTCGCCATTTTACTTCCGGGTTTCTAGTTATATTTACTACGCGTTCAAAATCGCTATCAACATTATTTTTCAGAAATTCAGAATTCAAATCTCAATTGTGCTCATATCAACATTGGTCTCCATGGAGGAAGTGCAGAGCAGAGAACAGGAAGAGGAAAATACATCAGGTACGTCGACTGCATCCGAAATTACATTTTGTTACAGTAAACACTGTACCGCATATGGAATTCATCCAGTACGGACAATAAACCCTCTGTTCCCCAGGTATGAAATGAGCACTAGGAACTGCTCGCTCGGACTAGTTTTGTTAATTTTAAAGGTATCCAAAGGGCTCGTAGAATTTCAAACATTTTAGGGTTATTGCTATATGTTATCACTATTCGGGCTAGTAAAGGGCGGCCGGGTAGCCGAGAGGTTAAAACGTTCGCTCGTCACGCCGAAGACCCGGGTTCGATTCCCGACATGGGTACAATGTGTGAAGCCCATTTCTGGTTTTTCCCGCCGTGATATTGCTAAAAGCGGCGTAAAACCATACTCACTCACTCACTAGTAAACGTTTTTGGTTCATTTCCATCCCTATATTGTTAACCTCCGAAAGTAGGTAAATTCAACTTCGGACCATCTAATTAGTGAAATAATTTAAAAAAATTAAATCATTGTGAATTACCGTTGGGACCTTAGAATACTGTTTCAAAGCCATGTAAAATAGTTTGGACATAAAAACGACGATTAACGAGTATTGACATAGCGGATTAAAGACGATCGTCATTGATCTTTGAATGCGAACATACGAGTGTTTGTTTGAACCAATATCACAAACCTTTTTTTCATGTAAGGATGCATTCGATTTCAAATGAATTTTAAAGGTATCGAATCTGGTCATTTCCCCAACTTGTTTCATTGAAAGTGTAATGGAGTTTGCTATATGTGTGATGAGACGCAACGAGAGAAGCACTAGTACTGTTCCGTTTTTCGCGATAGTTGAAATTTTGACCTTTATCTGAACTTGCAAACTCGACCGTAAATCCTACCCAAATGTATTTCCTAACATGCAATATATACATATTTTTTAGGCTAAGGAAGCTGCACTGTATGTTTGTTCTTATGATGACATCATATATTCGTTCAGGAAATTTGGATTTTAGTGCATTTGTTTTGTTAAAAATATTAACATAAAAGATCTGCACCTTTGCATGCACAAAATTAAAAAATAGTTTCTAGTCAAGGTAACGTTAACGGTATGTGAAAGGCCAGTACGTCGACCGTTGTTGATGTCTGTAGACGCAGACAATATTGCAAAAAAGAGAGTTTCTTGGAATCTCGTGAAACAAATGTGCTAAAACACACCATAAAATAAAAGTGTAATAAGTTATAAATGATTTGCCTGAAAAGAATAAAATTGATTAAATGTTTTCTTCCTGATTAAATGATTGAAATGTAAACCTCAGTACGGATGCTGGCCGAGTTTTTTTAAAAAACTTTTTTTTAAGTGGTTGTCTTTGTTGACATTTTAAACTTGTTCTCACACATGAAATACTTTTATTAATTCAGACGAATACATAAAGATTAACACTTTTCAGAGGACGAAAATGCTGATGGACTCACAACGACAAAGATAAAGAAGTTTTTCATGGGGTAACTACACAAAAACATGATCACTCTGATTTCTTGCCTTAACTATACGAATTAAATTACCGTCTTTGTTGCGCGAGACAGTTACTGAGCGCAGATAGCAAAACTCGCTCAAACTTTGCACATTGCACATGTAAAACATGCCGTCTACGGTGACACAACCTGGTTATTGTCGGATGCCACTTCAAACTCGCTCCTTCTTCTTTGTGTCGTTCAGCACCGACAAGGGCGGTAAGAACGGGACAAAACCCGACGCTAACCGGAAGTCACCGCCAGGCATCATGGAGTCGAATGCGTATGACTTCCGACATCCCCGACGTGGTATCGCCGTCATAATCAACAACAAGAAATTCGTCAACCCTCGACATCGCCGCGATGGCTCAGAAATCGACGTCATCAGGCTGACAAAGATGTTTACCTGCTATGGCTTTGACATCGTCATCTACAACGATCTGACAGTTGATGAAATGGTGGCGACACTCAAGATGGGTGAGATTACAATCAGTGCGGTCATCCTGATACTATTTTTGAGTGGAGAATGAAATCATAACTTAAAACGACCCATGCAGTATTAAACTCTACAAAATAACGTGTACGCCAGTTATAGCAATAGCCCTGACCTTTTTGATAACTCAAGGGAAGCTAGTTCGCACTGTAGATGGGAGTGGTTTCCCTTTGTATATACGCTGTCGCCGTGGTGTACTTTGCACAAAGTATGAATATTGTAAAATCGCTTTTGTTTCTTTTGGGTCACATTCGGGTTAATGATTTCGTATTTATTGTATCATTGATACAGTTAACAATTAACTTCAAATCGAATCATACGGCGTTCTAATAAGTTTTTAAATCTAAAAAGGTGTTGGACGAGCGGTTTTAATATATAGTCCTTTTTAAATTCTTACAGTTATACATTTAACAAGGAAATAGACACAATGAGACATTTGAAATATATGTAAAATATTTATAAATGTAATTCACCTACTTTTAGAACATGAATAATAACAGGAACCATATGTCTAAATACAGGACATCTCCTTCCTGGAAATTTTATCTAATGTTCTTATATCCCTTAAATACAATCTTCACAATCTTCACCTTTCAGCGAATTGGTAAAGGTAGGCAACTCCAAAACGTATACAAGTTGAAGGCATTCGTACATCCATCTTTAGCTAAGACCGCAATCTTAATCTTACAATCGGTCTGTAGAAGTCGATTAAGACTTTAATAATGGCGATTGTAAAGGCCGCTCTGTGCATGTGGGCCCATGTTTCTAGTGTGTGGCGTTTATGACCGATGCTACGTCACTGCATAGATAGTGATGTACACCACCCTCAAGACTCTGATTCCCATTTCAGTTGCATGTTTTCCTGACCACGAGCGAGCTGACTGCTTTGCATGCGCTATTAGTTCCCATGGCGACGAAGTGACCATCAAGAAGGGTACAGCAGCTCAGGACGCCATTATGGGTATCGGCGGTGACCTTGTCCTTACGAAGGTTCTGCTAGACATATTCACAGACGCCAAGTGTCCCGGACTTCGAGGGAAACCAAGACTGTTCTTTATACAGGTGAGTATTCTCATATAATTTTTTAATTTGAAGTTTAGACGATATACGGCTGTTCCATTAGACGAGAGGTCAGTAACATAACCGCGAAATTGACGTTGATACAGTTTGGCCCTCACTCAATGAAGGTTCATTCTCCAATGAACTCACACAAAGTGAAAGTCAGTTCTTAAATGAATAAAAGTATAATTGACATTATTGGGGACATTATTTCAGTTTCACTATGTCACTAATTTCAGAATTGTCAGGACAAACGTCACCTGACGTTGACCACTTTGGGGAAACCCACTACCTCGGGTATGGTAATCCTAGGATCAGAATAGGATGCGCCAACCCGCCAACAGATCCTGATATAACCACGTGGTGTAGCTCTGCACCACGAATAGCTGCACCTTAGGACGCTGGAACTCAGTACTGTTTAAAAGTATCCCATTGTGTTGACAGGCATGCCGAGGTGAGCTGATGGATGATGGCCAAGAGATACTGATATCTAAACTGACCCTGGCTCCACAAGATACGGGACAGTGTGCTATCGACGCTAAAGTGAAAGAGGAGTCAAAGAAGGGGAGTCATCCTTCTCCGCTCTGTCCCCCCATCGATCCTCATTTCCTGGTGATGTACGCCTCACCCCCAGGTGTGTGTTTGTTTGTTGTTTAACGTCCCAGTCAGAATTATTCCAGGTGTGTGTTTGTTTGTTGTCTAACGTTGCACTCAAATTCCAGCGGTATGGCGTCTGTCTGTATAAATGCTCAGGTCTGGACCAGACAATCCAGTGATAGACATCATGAGCTTCGATCTACGCAACTGGGATACGATGATATGCATCAACCAAGTCAGTGAGTCTGACCACCCGATCCCGATAGTCGCCTCTTACGACAAGCATAGTCGCCTTTTACGGCAAGCATGGGTTGCTGAAGACCAATTCTACCCCGGATCTTCACGGGTCTATTGTATCAGTGTGAAATCTTGCTATTTTGTTGTTTAACACCACACCCTGCAGTATTGCAACTATATTACATTTCATCACAAATCAACATCAAAATGGTTCATTTCAAATCTTTTGCGTCAAGCATTGGTTTCTGAAGACCTATTCTAACATGGATCTTGTCAATCTCCACAGGAATCTTCTGAACTACTGACAAAATAATGAAATAAGGATAGATCAAATATTCCTCTCTAAACAAAGGTAGGAGGGTTTGATAGTGAGAAGGCACGCCATTTCATTATATTAATCAGAAGTTCAGATTATTGTGCATTTACGACCCCCGATGAAGGATGTCAACCGCTTCCTCATTTCCAGCATTTGTCTTGTTTGATAATGATGTCTTCCTAGTATCCTATTTATGTGTGTTCAGCTGTGCATACGCCCCGATGGGGTTTCAGGGGTGAACAGTTCGACAGTAACCTTGCTTGTCGAGCGAGTTCACTGTAAGGGCGTACTTAATTACCTCCAAGATTTTCAGAGGGGAGGGCTGGCGGGCTGGCGGAAAAAGAACAAATATGGTAAAAAAGGTATGTTATTGCAGAATACCTATTCTGATGATCTATACCAAATATTTGACAATTTAATTGGTCCGGTATAAGCTGAACCCGAAAACGGAAATTGTGGAAACACATTTTGGTAAAAGATAAAAGAGGAAAGCCAGTGAGATCATCGCCATTACGTCATATTGCAATTAAAAGCATTCTTACCATTAACCTATTTCAAGTTATAAAACATAAGACACAGGTTCTAAAATCGCTTTAAATGTTTAAACAAATATGCGTTTTCTGACATGCTGTCTGGGGCAAATGGAACAAGCTACAATGTTGTAAATTTACGAACAAGAGAAAAACTTTCTACGCAGGTATATATCGAGATAGTTTCTAAAACATGTTTTTTTATTTATTACATTAGAATGATAGATGGACCTGAGCTAGGTTTACAATCTGCGACGTTACAAAGTTTTTGTTATGAGATTCCTCACAGCCAAAGCCCGTTCACGGAGCTCTCTATACGATCGCTGTCTCCAGTCCCTGCTCCCCACTGTGATAGGTGACCACAACCATGCTTGGAGTTGAACTCGCAACCCACTGACTGTTATGTTAACAAATAAGCGATGACGGTCTTGATGCCGAATGCTCTTCCACCACCTAAATTATTTTCTTTGTTAGCCAATTTGAATTTCTATTTAATTTCAACTCTCGTGTAATGAGTATAGTAAGGTAATGTAATGTAATGTAAGGGGGAGGTTGAGTGTTTTTTTTCTGTTAGTCTGCAACCTCGAACCAGTCTGATGAAACAAACAAAATTCATTTGGGAAATAATGGTCAGACCTTTTCAAAATACACTATCGAGGCTATTCCCGAAGACATACATAAAATTATGAATGTCACTATATATTTTGAATTAGAGGGCAAATTTCAAGATTCTTGTCATGACCGCTTCGACATTTATGGCAGTGATGTGACCAGAGACCATATCTATTGAAAACGACGGTATCACGCACACGGAAGGAACTTGTTTTGTCATGGTCAAAGGGAGACAATTCAAGGAATACGGAAGAGAATTTATGGATGTCAAAGGGAAGTAACTGTGCTAAGAAAGTAATATGTGTGCTATGCGCATGGCCAAACTACGTTATGACGTCATTCGACCTTGTAGCAAGGGGGATAACCAAAAATGTCTAAGCTCGTCGTCAGTGCATGAATGGGCAATCGCTGTGAGGAGCTTAAATTCCCTATAGAACTCGGAACATTCCACACAATGTGGGGAGTTTAAGAGAACCACTGTATGGAGCTCATACAAAGGACTTTACTCTTATCATATCACAACACGATTATCTCCCTTAGACCATTGATTGCATTGATGGCGCGGCACTGCTTGTCGCCTTCACACATTAAACCTCGCTGGCGGATTAATCTTTCGACGACGTTTATATAAACGTCTCGTGTTTACTGCTATCTTGATTCATTGTTCGTAATTTATGTGATTCTGTTGGGATCATTTTATGTCACACAAACAGACCCACCGGAAATGTCCTGAGCGTCTGATACCTGTTGCAACTATGATAAATCTTTCAGAATATCATTATGGCACAGTGAATATCATTGTTACCGGTTTACCCCAAAACATTCTGGCATGAACCCATATCACATTAGATCAAAACTTTGACACAATCTGTTAAACATGGCAAGTTTGTGTGTTTGTTGTTTAACGCCGCACTCAGCAGTATTCCAGCTATAGGACGGTGGTCTGTAAGTAATCGAGTCTGGACCAGATAATCCAGTGATTGACATCATGGGCAACGATCCACGCAATTGGGATACGATGACATGCATCAACCAAGTCAGCGAACCTGACCACCCGATCCCGTTAGTCGCCTCTTACGACAAGCATAGTCGCCTTTTACGGCAAGTATGGATTGCAAAGCAATGCAGTTAGCAGCAATAATACCGTCTTTACTTATTTTTGTGTTTCACATATCCAAGGTTTTCCAAAAGGGGGGTTTGACGATCTATACCAAATATTTGACAATGTCTCGTTGAAGATTGACAGCACGCTGAACTTCGAAAACTGAAATGTAAACACATTGTAGAAAATGATCTAAGAGGAAAGTACATGTAGATAGAAAATATAACTTCACCATAAAGTCATGTTGTAATTTAAGTCATTGTTACCATTTACCTATTTCAAATCATTAAACCAAACACAGGTTCGAATCAGTTCTAAAGTCACATTAATTCTAAAACAAATATTTATCTTCGGACATGCATCTACGAACAAGGGAAATACTTTCTATGCAGGTTAAGATCTAGATTGTTTCTTAGATGTGTTCATTATTCATTAAATTAGAATGACAGATGGACCTGATCCAGTAAAGTTTAAATTTTATGACAAAGAAATGCAATCCTTTCCTTAGTGAAGCAGATTTCTTATTTTAAAAGCTTAGGTAGGGAGTATACTTCTAATACAGATTCTTTGAGCCATGGGAAAAGACGTTATGACTTCGTCGTCTATCGAATACCTGAAATTCTTTATGTATCTGTGATTGAATAAGTTTATTATTGTCAAAAGGACACATCAGCCCAGGTAGGAAATACAACCTCATTAAAATCAGATCCTAGTTCTCGCTACCGCGACACAAAGATCTGAGTATATACCATTACGGGTCACGCCAGGACGACCTTTCGCGAACTTTGACCGACCAATGAAATGACTAACAAGGAGACGACATTAGCCAATCAAACTGGTGACTTTCATTCCAGGCTACACTTGAACAATATGTTGACAAAGTTCTCGATTAAAAATCTGAAAACTGAAGAAAAGGACAATCTGGAATGTCTAATATATTCTCGTAGTCCAGATTGTTTGGCAGTACTCGAGCCATGCAACGTCTCTTCCTTTCATATGCTGTTTATCCCACTGAAGCGAGAGAAAGACGACGATTTTGACGGAATCAGTAGTAAACTTACGTTCGAGGTTGCATGATTAGAAAACATTCCGACTGTCACTTTCCTGATCTGGTAAGCGGCACTCTGATGTGGTCAGAAGAAAGGTCATTCTGACGTAACCCGTAATGGGATGTCCTCAGATCTTTGTTTTTTGTTTAGATTGGTAGCAATTATATATGAATCTTGACAGTTTATTGCACCCATGCAGGCAGAGTCTGATTTGATGTTCTGTCACTCCTCACAGGTCACGCAGCCTGGCGGCGCACAGACGGCTCCTGGTTTACAAGATGTCTCGCGGACACGTTTCTCAGCACCAACGTTGAAACCACCTCTCTCACCAAAGTTCTCACGAGAGTCAGCGGAGCCGTTACGCAACTCCAGTCGAAGGATGGAAAGAAACAAGTGCCGTGTACTATTTCTAAACTCACCAAGGACGTGTTCTTCACTGCCAAACGCTACAGCTGAGAAGCGGCGTTACTCGGTTCCAGACACTGCTCTATACTGGATACGCCATTCCGATGTTCTCATTTCTTATCATATTAAGTGCAATATATCAGTGTTTCATTTATTTTTTTATATTCTTTAAATTTTTGTTACAAATAAAATTGTGATTGGTGATTCCATGGATTTGTCATCATCTGTAGATCTGTACACAATTATTATCCCCCGCCACGAAGTGGGAACGGAGTTTATCTGTCTGTCTGTCCGTTCTTCCGTCCATCCGTCGGTGAGTCCGCTTCATATTAAGGATAAATATTCTCAAAGATTATTTAAGTTAGAGAAATTACATTCAACAAACTGATGTTACTGATCTCGATTTAAAATGAGTTCGAAAATTTGTGTCTTAATTGTTAATGTCCATACTCCATGATGTTCAACTTATTTCACACGGCGTAGAATGGGGGATAGATTTTCTAAGAAATAACATAAATGAAACTTTGCAAGTTTATCTGAGAGATTCTTCTCAATATTGAGTCCTATAATTGGTGCAATAAATTATTTTACTTTAGAGTGAAGTGTTTTTAGATCATACACAGTTATGGCCCTTGATCCAAGTCATTTTACTCAGCGCATTGAGTTTGCATGCAGTGAGGACATGTTTTCTCAGACACTTCTGAAGTTTCATGAATTAAACTTTTCAAGCTTATCTCCGAAAATATTTGTGCCATAAATTATTTTTTTCAGAGGAGGGGCCGTTTGTGTGGACACGTATTAATTTCGCATTTAATCAGATTTTCCCATGAGATATAGCCACCCTTCGTCTTAAGGCTGTAATTACTCTTTTTTATAAACAGTTCACATTAACTTCCATATTATCCACAACTATATGAACAAACAAGACAAAACGCCGTTTTCTTGTTTTTACTAAAGGTTGAAATAAAAGGCCTGCTTCTTGTCAATCGCTACACGGATGTATGGGTTATTTTACAGTGCAGGCATCATGAAAAAAAAGAAATATATTTTTCTTACATCATTATGAAGCCAGTATGATGTACAGAACGGTGGCCGAGAAAAAAGTGTAAGAACGTAATCATAGCGCTGTTGCGCTTAATTAAAGGAAGTATTTTGAGGCCTGTATTTGTCACAACCCAAACGAATCTTAAAAGCGCTAACGAGGAGGCGTGGCTTAATTAGCACGGCCGGCTAGGCCTGCAAGCTGATTGGGTACAGAAGTTGTGGTCAGGACCGTGTTGTATATATAATACCGGTATGGACTCCAAGTATATTGTTATATTGTCAAGACCATGCCCCAGCCCGGGCTAGGTTAAAACAAGAATTGCAGTTAGATCCGCTATTTGTCATAGATCTCCTAAAGCCAAGAGATGCAATAGCGAAGGCCAAACTAGCTCTATTTCTGAGAGATGGACAGCTACTCGAACGTATATAAACTGAGCAGCCAAGGATAAAAATGAAATCATATCAATATAAGGAAATAGAAATCATATCAATACAAAAACAGAAATTATGTGAACACCAAACTCACAATAGATATGTGTACCCTACTCACACACAGGAGTCTCAAAGAGGGACAGGTCAGCCGAAATTGCTTAGGCAGAAGGCGACCTCTTAAACACTTAATGCAACAACAACAACAACAACTCCAAGTATGTCAAGAGCATGGCTAGTGGGGGCGTGTCAACAACTCCAAGTATGTCAAGAGCATGGCTAGTGGGGGCGTGTCAAGTAGCCTTTAACATGAATTATATAACTTTAACTTTGTAAGATATTTTCCATTTCAATTTTAGGAACGCAGGTTCAATACAACGCAAAACCTCCTCAATCCGTGCCGTTCTTAAGATAGACATCGATTGATCTTTGTAGCCAATTAGTGCTAATTAACCAGAACGGTATTTGTCTCACCTAGTCACTCATCTCCCAACATGCAACTTCAGTAGATATTGAATAATGTATGCCAGCAGGTATCATAAGCCACTCAGCCAGGTGTATAATGTAATGTGAGGTGAGGTGAGGTGAAATGGGGTTTAACGTCGCGTCCAAGATTATTGCACTTATACAGCGACGTGCATGTACGTGTGTGTGTTTGTGTGGCTGCTTGTGCTTGTCCGGGCTGATGCCGATTTATAGGTCTAGCTCGCTGAGATACCATGTCGCAGTTTAACATTAATACCCCACTCAGACACAGTATACTGACTCCGAGCCGATCAGTCCTTGTTTAAGGCCCTAAATGCCGAGCGCAAGACATGGAAACAACAAGTACCACCTTTTAACGTCTTTTGGTATGACGCGGTCGGGGATCGAACCCCGGACCTTCCGCTCTCCGGGCGGACGCTCAACCACTAGACCACGGAGGCGGTCTATAATGTAATGTAACGCGTTAGCAAGTGAAACGACATGGCGGTGACATATCGCTTCATCTTTGTAGTGCTATTTGAAGACTGATGTTGTGATTTGGAGTAAATAAACTAAACAAACCAATCTGTGTGATCCGTGCTTCCAAAATGGGGATCATCCTCGTTATCTCCGTCACTATTTTCGACATGTTGGGGTTCTCTTGTACGAGTACTTCTTCTGCAGAAATCACCATTTCATCTTCCGAGAAACAATCACCTCCATCGAAAACTAGTGTCACTGTCAAAATCGGACATATCGGAAGGTGATGATCGATTTGAGCTCACGATATCGCACAGAGGAACGAAGTAAGTACTGTGTGCACCATCACACCAAATTGTCAAACAAAGAAATGTCTAACAACAAAATACACAAAGCACTTAATACGATGCATCAGTTATTAACACGGCTGCAAACTCGAGGTTAGTCAAATTACATTTACAATGAAATAATTTTCCTAAAATATTTAATCAAGGTATTCAAACGAATTATAGAAATTTGTAAAGGAAATTGCTCAAGCTTACAGTACACTAAAAGGATCAACATTAAATACTTACAAACATTGTTAATGGCCTATTAAGGGTTTTAAACAACCTTAATAGGTGAATGGAAGTTTTCTGTAAGTGACTAAGTTATTCCAACACAATTTCTTCTGTTAAATACCAACTATACCCAAGCTGTTGTATTTTATAACCAGCATATATTTTGTATTCAGCTACATGTCTTTACTTGAGTATGTAATCGAGTAGTTTCCGTGTTCGCATGCCGATATGCCAACCTTCGAGTGTCGCACGTCTTGTCCACGGAATGACACGAGCTGGTCACAAATAAGTCAAGAATGTGGCGTGTGCCGGAAACAGGCGAAAACCCATAGAACACGTTCCTAGGTCATAAAAGAGTGCCATTTGAGGTTGAAATACTGTAAAAATACAGCAAAAAAAATAGAGAGAGAATCTCACCAGAGTGTCTTTTGAAAACAAATACATCAACACGAGTTGATAAAAGGGGAAAAACTCTGAGTCTTGCCGAGGAGTTTTTCCACTTTCATCAACGAGTATTGATATATTTGATATCAAAAGACACGAGGGTGAGATTTTATTTATCATCTAACACCATTGTTCCAAATTTTTTCAATTTGTAGACAGTAATAGGCAGTGTCTTAAGTGAAAAAAGTACTGCTAACAGAGCCATTAATAATGTGGGAGGGGCGGTCGGGTAGCCTAGTGGTTAAAGCGTTCGCTCGTCAGGCCGAAGACCCGGGTTCGATTCTCGACATGGGTACAATGGTTGAAGCCCATTTCTGGTGTCCCCCGCCGTGATATTGCTGGAATATTTCTAAAAGCGGCGTAAAACCATATTCACTCACTCACTTAATGTGGGAGGAAAGCCCGAAGTGATGCTGGTCTCAGACGTTTACCACTTCGGTGAAACCCACGAGCACAGGTATGGTGCTGACAAACCTAGAAACAAATCGGGACGAACCGGGAATGATAAAAAGGAATGTGTTACGTACACAATTATTATTTTTAGAATGTTAAATCTGCGTACCAAGTACGATATTTTTCTTGTACCACACTGCCGAGTCCCGTATACCCTCTTAATATACCCCCGAATCCCGCGTACCAAAAGGGGTTGGTAGCTTCACCTTCTCCCTCTACTCTAATTATTGCTGTAAACATTCTGCCAAATGTCATGCATCTCAGGGTTTGAATAAAACAATAACTGAACAGTTAACAAAATATCAAGAATTTGAAGAACTACTGGACCAAATGTGGCATGTTAGCATGTATTTTCTATTCAATTACCCATAACGCCGTATTTTAATTACCCGTATGTTTCATATATGTTTTATTACAGATAGAAAAAGAAGTTATTCAAAATGTTATATCAACACAGACACATTTAGAACAACAAATAATACTCATTCGAATGCAATATCCGTTCACTAGTTCCACTTTTATCTGTTTCACTATTGTTTTTGACTCATATGCGGTTACCTCCCCTATTGAGTTCATTTACACCGTTGGAACCCCGTGAACCCCATTTATTTAACTGAACAACTAATAACATAAATGTAATGTGTAAAACACTTATACAAAAACTAAATTGTCTCAGAACATTGTACACAAAATTTGAAATGCATGAATTTCCTATACAATTCTTTTCCTATATATTTCACAGAACTATTAGAAATAGACCACGGTGGTAACATTAATACCAAACTCAGACACAATATACTGACTTAAGCCCTTAATGCCAAGCGTCAGGCAGGGTAACAATAGGTACCATATTGTAACGCCTTTTGATATGACGCAGCCGGGGATCGAAGCCCGAACCTGCCGCTCTCCGGGGGGACGCTCTACTACTAGACCATGGAGGCGGTCATATTATATAAACTAATACTTGTCCCGTGAGAAAACAAATAATTATGACGTATATTTGTCATTCCATTCAGACACCGGAGTGGCATTGGTCTCCAGTATTCTGGTCGAAAAAGTCGATAGAATCCATCGGATAGATGGGTATTTGGTTGATCGTACCCCGACGGTGTTCATGCTTTCGGTCACCGGTTTTCTTGGTGCAGAGTCCAATATGCCAGGGTATAGCTCGAATATTATTGGTTGCGGCGCCTTCAAACACAGAAATACATTCACTTTCATACTGATACGAGGGCTGGTCAAAAAGGTCTAAGCCTAACAAACAAAACCAACGATGTGAAAGTGTTTTTAATTTTATTTTTTAACATAATCTACCTGCTTTTTGATACACTTCTAATATCGATAGTGAAGATTTTCTATTCAAGTCAGGAAGAAGGTTTCAGAAGACAGCTTTGAGGTCATCGCTGTCGTCATAGCTCTTTCCACAAGTGAAAATCACTTGGTGCCTGGTCTGGCGAGTATGGAGGGTGAGAAAGCTCCTCGAAGCCACATTGCCGCACAGCAGCCTTTGCAAGTCGAGAGGTGTGAGAAGAGGCATTGTCATGAAATTGTAGAACTCCAGCAGTCAGCATTCCTCGCCGCTTTTCTTTGATAGAATCTCTCAGGCGATGAAGCAAATCAGCATAGTAGGCACCAGTAATCGTCTTTTGACTTTCTAAGTAATCAACAAGCATCACACCCTTTATATCCCAGTGGCCATAACTTTCTTTATTGATCCTGTAGACTTGAATTTCTTTGCTGTCGGAGAAGTGGAATGGTGTCATTCCATGAATTGACGTTTTGACTCGGGATCATAGTAGTAGACCCATGTTTCATCACCCGTTACTAATCTCTTTTTGAATTTGACGAAATCCTCCTCAATTAGCCCTAAATGTTCTCTGGCAATGTTCTTTTTCCTTAGGATCAGAATTTAGAATCTTTGACACACAACCAGCAGATATTCTTATTCTGTAAATGTTCATGAATAATAGTTTCAATGGATCCATGGCTTAGACCTGTGTCTTCCTCAAGTTCAGCAATGTTATTATGTCTATCTGATTGTTTTGGTTTTTCTATCTCCTTGATTGAATCTTCATTGGTTGAACGTTCAGACCAAGGGTCATCATCAAATCTTGTTCTCCCAGCCTTGAACATTGCTGCCCAAAGTGTAACAGTGGAATAGCTATCCCCACTTATCCCCATACACGTGTGACATGCGGGGAGTACATAAAAAACTTGATGACAGCTCCGTACTCGTTCTGTTCCATTTCTGTGTCCTTTTGGACCCCTATCACGTTCAAATGGCTGTCACTAATATACAAACGGCCTCAACAGACCAAATACACTTGCAATGAACTACTCAAACAATGTACAACATTGACTGGTTCACTTCCGTATGGCCCACAGTTGAAAGTTAGTCAGGCTTAGAATCTGTTGACCAGCCCTCGAACACAGACAAAGAACTTCATTCAGATTCTTGTGTGTTGGACTTCCACGGGCGACAAAGGCAGCCATCTGAATTTTCTGTTCTAGTTGTAACCTTGACCTCTTTCCTTGGCCCTATCCCAGAAGGCTAGTTTGTGAGTTGGTCACGTAGTGAGCTGTTAATCGTAATGGTAGAACTGAAACCAGACTGTGTGGACATCTGGTGTTTTCTGCTGATAGGACTTTCACAGGAATGTAATCGAGGTTTAGGCCCAGTTCCAGATGTAGGTCAACTATCTGGGGCTGTGTAAGTCACTCAGTGCGAACATGTTATATTAAAATGGTAACCATCTTTCGCTCATCTGCTGACGTGGTGGAGTATAGTTCAACTGCTATTGTTGCAAGTTTACAGTTCTTCTGCTATTGTTGTGGAGTATATAGTTCTGCTATTGTTATGGAGTATGTAGTTCATCTGCCATAGTTGTGGAATATATAGTTCACCTGTATTGTTGCAGATATATAGTTTATCTGCTATTGTTATGGAGTATATAGTTCACCTATTGTTGTGGAGTATCTAGTTCATCTGCTATTGTTGCAGGTATATACTTTATCTGCTATTGTTTCAGGTGTATAGTTCATCTGCTATTGTTGTGGAGAATATAGTTCATCTGCTTTTATTGTGTAGTATATACTTCATCTGTTATTGTTGAAGGGATATGGTTCATCTGCTATTGTTAGTTCATCTGCCATATTTGTGGAGTATATAGTCCATCTGCCATAGTTGTGGAGTATATAGTTCATCTGCTATTGTTGAGGGCATACAGTTCATCTGCTTATATAGTTCATCTGCCATAGTTGTGGAGTATATAGTTCATCTGCCATAGTTGTGGAGTATATAGTTCATCTGCTATTGTTGCAGGTATATAGTTCAACTGCAATTGTTGTGGGTATATAGTTCAGCTGCTATATATGATGCATTTCAATGTACACAAATATCAGAACGAAACGCTAAAGATTATTTATTGTCACAGATACATATTCATCTCTGTTCCAATCTGCATGAAATGTGCTTTACTAAAGTTGTGAAAATTAAATGGACAGTGATAACGATAAAGGGTGAACTGTGATAAATGTAGTTCCCGTGGTACTAACAGGAAACTGGGACGTCGAAGGCTGCAGGATTGGTAATGCCGGCCTTGTATCCGTTGAAGAATAGCACTAGATTTACTGGAGCTGTAACAAACAGAAATTCAGTAAGAAACCTGATCAAAACATAACGTAAATTTTTAGTTAAAGACAACCTGAATACATTGGCGTCACATCAACGTGTCTGGGTCTGGGTGTGTTTATTTTACGCCGCTTTCAGGTAAGCGATGGCGGTCTGTAAGTAATCGAGTCTGTACTAGACAATCCAGTGATTATTATGAGCAACAATCCACGCTATCGGGGTACGATGCCACTCAATCAACTATGTCCACAGACCGCCCGATCCATTCGCTAAGCAAAGGTTCCTGGGGACCTACCGTATTCGACGTAATAAGCGCCCCCCTCGTATAAGCGCCCATGGCGATATTTGCTTATATATTGGCTAGTGAACAATCCCAATTAGCACTCCTTCCGATAGATCAATGTTCACAAGACTTATTTTTTCGCGTATAATACGCACTCGTGTGTTATATGCATTCTTAATTATGGGCAATTAAATTCTGGAAAAATATATCTGTCGCATATAAACATTTCAGTGTGTCAGCATAAACCACGACATTTATCCTTCACCTCTCTTTTTTCCACCAAAATAATATTCTAATAAGAGCCGCCCCCTATTTCTAATTTTGAGAGCGCCCTGGGCGCTTATTACGTCGAAACGAGTATCATGGCGAAGTGGATGCATGAAAGGATCATGAAGAATGTCTGGTAATGAATATGATTAACTAACCCCTTCCGAAACATTTTGTTTTTCTCTGGGCGAAGTGCATTGTCTTTTTATCATTTATCGGTTCTTCAAAGGGAACTTATCCAAAGACCTTTTGGTTTACGGAGGCTCTGAACAAATTCTGGTCGGCAGTTCGAAAAAAATAAAAACAAAAAGAATTTCCTATTTCAAATGATGTATGTGGGGGTGGCAGGATTGGGATTCGTCACCATGCGTTATGTTTTGTGCAAACGTAGGTATCATCACTGTTCGATGGCGATTTATGTACATATGCTCATGATTTAGTCGGAATCGTTCAATGGACTCAGCTTTAGGCAGACATTTCTTATGATTATGGAAATGTTTTCGTCGCTTTTATTTACACACTGGGTACCTACATGATGATACTGTGCCAACGACCCCCTCGATGATTGGGATGCAGTCGGGGTTGGTGAAGCTGACGGTGAGGTTGAGGCTACCCAGTGGTATCAACCAGCCGTCATATTTGAGCCCAGTTGCCTCGGTACCGACATAGTTGGAGCCTAGGTATGTAGCTGTGTCTGGATGGCAGGAGAGGGTCTTGTAATAATAGTGTACATTTGAATGAGTGCATACATGGAGATATCTCCACCCAAACAACAAATTATTATTTTGAAACCATTAAAATATACAATGCAACTAGGAGCTGTTTCAGAGATGTTATCATATACAGTCAAACCACAGTTATGTAAGGCACCTACTTGGGATGCAGTTTGGGATCATCGTATCTGTGATGTCCTCCTTTGTACATGTGCCGTCAGCGTCAATGTTGTAGCGTATACCCTGAAAAGCCACGGCAACAGTTACCCGGACGACCCCATGTGTTTACGTGCATACCACAGATACCAAAATAGCGGGAAAACATAAACAATTTAAATGCTTACTATAATGAACTGTGGCAGACTAAACCACACGACAATGAGCTATACAATCCAGACTGAACCATACCACAATGAGCTATACAATACAGATTGAACCATACCACAATGAGCTATACAATTCAGACTGAACCATGCCACAATGAGCTATACAATCCAGTCTGAACCATACCACAATGAGCTATACAATCCAGTCTGAACCATACCAAATTGAGCTATACAATCCAGACTGAACCATGCAACAATGAGCTATACAATCTAGATTGAACCATGTCACGATGGGCTTTACAATCCAGACTACACCATAACACAATGAGCTATACAATCCAGATTGAACGATACCACAATGAGCTATACAATCCAGACTGAACCATACCACAATGAGCTATACAATCCAGACTGAACCATGCCACAATGACATTACAATCTAGATTGAACCATGTCACGATGAGCTATACAATCCAGACTGAACCATACCACAATGAGCTATACAATCCAGACTGAACCATACCACAATGAGCTATACAATCTAGATTGAACCATGTCACGATGGGCTATACAATCCAGACTGAACTATTCCACAATGAGCTATACAATCCAGACTGAACCATACCACAATGAGCTATACAATCTAGATTGAACCATGTCACGATGGGCTATACAATCCAGACTGAACTATTCCACAATGAGCTATACAATCCAGACTGAACCATACCACAATGAGCTATACAATCCAGACTGAACCATAACACAATGAGCTTTACAATCCAGACTTAACCATACCATTATGAGCTTTACAATCCAGACTGAACCATGCCACAATGAGCTATACAAACCAGACTGAACCATGCCACAGTGAGCTTTACAATCCAGACTGAACCATAACACAATGAGCTTTACAATCCAGACTGAACCATACCACAATGAGCTTTACAATCCAGATTGAACCATACCACAATGAGCTATGCAATCCAGACTGAACCATACCAGAATGAGCTATGCAATCCAGACTGAACCATAACACAATGAGCTATACAATCCAGACTGAACCATGCCACAATGCGCTATACTATCCAGACTGAACCATACCACAATGAGCTATACAATCGAGACTGAACCATGTCACAATGAGCTATACAATCCAGACTGATCCATACCACAATGAGATGTAAATACAAGATTGTACCCAGTCATTAAATCAGATCTGAGTTCTCAAACAGGGATTTGACCGGGTCACACAACAACGAACTATAGGTACCAGCACTGTTGGGCAGATACAACGATAAAGACCCAGCCCTCAAACAGATAATGTGAAGGAGGGTCAATTCCTCGATCATAGGCGATAGTTGGATAGATAAGTAGAATTTACGAAGAAAAACGAATTTGTACGGACAAATGCACACGTTAGTAATCGGTCTGATTTACTTAATACATGCATTCCTCTGGGATACTGATGAACAAGTGGAACTACCTTGGAGTATGATGTAACAACCCTGTTCCGCAACACACGTTGGGGCGTTCCGAACTCATAGTACTGGATGGCGGTGGCCATGTTGTCGGCGTCGTAGTAGTAGTCAGACGATATCTGAAATTTTAAATATGTAATATAGAGGATAGAGTCTCGTGATAAAGCTTGGGAGGTGGTGTCTTAATATCAGTCAGGTCTGAATGTCAACATCAATGAATATGTCTCCATCGATTTGACATGAACCATTTTGATGTTGATTTGTGATGAAATGTAATATAGTTGCAATACTGCAGGGTGTGGTGTTAAACAACTAAATAGCAAGACTTCACACTGATACAATAGATCCGTGAAGATCCGGGTAGAATAGGTCTTCAGCAACCCATGCTTCCCGTAAAAGGCGAGTATGCTTGTCGTAAGAGGCGACTATCGGGATCGGGTGGTCAGGTTCGCTGACTTGGTTGATACATGACATCGTATCCCAATTGCCTGGATCGATGCTCATGATGTCAGTCACTGGATTGTCTGGTCCAGACTCGATTATTTACATGTACAAACCGCCGTCACATAGCTGGAATATTGCTGAGTGCGGCGTTAAACAAAAAACAATCAAACACAATTGATACAATAATCGTAGCCAGGTGTTTAAGGCAATGCATCTATATTGTCATCGCTGTAACAACGCAGGGTATACGTCTTGCAATTAGAAACATCTTACGGTACACATGCAAATGACGCTAAATTAAACTTACATCATTTCCATTGGCGATAGCTTGAACGTCCGACATCGTGGCTGACCATTTAGCGGCCATGCAACAAGGTGTTGCCTGAGCCTTCACGGCCGCCAGGCAGGACAGAGTGACCAGAAGTAGCAGCATGGTGGACATCATGACGTGGAATGAACAACGGTCAAAGAATGGCCACTAGTTTTATATTTATTGGATACGTTTGTGCGGATGTTTACATAATGAGTAGATATATTCAGGAACAGCGTTCTATTGATTCACAGTTAAAAGATTGGGTTTCAGTTCCAATTTAAGTCACCGAACTCCTTGGTAAGTGAAACAAGTGACTTTACTGACAACCGTTTGAGATGTATGTTTGTGCAGGTTTAACAGTAGAGCCAGCATATACATGTTCCTCATTACAAACACATGATAGCATTGGTGCGACCAAACGGATATGATTTATCTGTTCACCAGGTGCACGCGTTCACGGTTCATGTATATTTTCAGATTATATTTCTCAATAAAAGTCAAAGTTGAAAAACCTTGAATGTAATGATTATAAACAAGTGGGCCTTTGGACGATATTGCTTCTTGGGTCAAGGACACCCTCTTTTGTTGACATTAAGAACCTTCGTCAGTTATTCGAATAAAGCCCCAAAACAACGTGAGGATCAAGATCACCATCCCTAGAATAGTCATGATTATGAGGACCGCCTCCGTGGTCTAGTGGTACAGCGTCTGCCCGAATAGCGGAAGGTCGGGTGTTCGATCCCCGACCGCGTCATACCAAAATACGTTAAAAGATGGTACTTGTTGTTACCATGCCTGGCGCTCAGCATTAAGGACGCTCGGCTTCAAGGGGCTTAAACAAGGACTGGTCTGCTTCGGAGTCAGTGTACTGTTTCTGACGGGGGTATCAATGTTAAACTGCTGCATTGTATCTCAGTGGGCTAGCACTTTAATATTTTGACTGTTAATTCTATTAAATGTTTGAGAGCATATTGATCGTATATTTTTACAACAGACAGATCATTTCAACTTGGCAATCTATCAGCGCTAAAATAAAAACACAAACTGCAGAATTGTACCTCAGTGCTTTTTTGGATTATGACGAGGTTTTTTTCTTTGTAGTTTGAGTGATCCCTACCCCTTAATATTCACCTTTTACCTCTTAGAACTAGGTTAGTCTAGTGGTTTATGCGATCGCTCGTCACGCCGAAGACCCGGGTTCAATTTCCCTCAATTGGTACAATGTGTGAATTCCATTTCTGGTGTCCCCCAACGTGATTATTGGTGGAATATTGCTAAAAGCGGCATAAATATATACTCACTCACTCATTCCTTCAACAGTTTGTAAAAAGTAATCTGTGGCTGGGTAATTTTGTGTAAAACAAATTGCAACCACATGACCACTACTATGTTTGAACTGTTGTTAATTTGTGACGAAAAAAAGAAAACAATATTTCAGTTTAAAAGATAGGATGTCCAAGATACCCATCAGCAGTTGTGCGAATTATTATTTTTTTAATTTTTAATTTTTTTAAAATCAAATTAAATTTTTAAAAACCAAACCCAAGTAGAAGCATTCTTTGAGTGCAGACTACGCGCCAGTATAGGTACTTTAGATATAATATCGCTAACTTAAGATATTTTCAGCTGAAAATTTAAAATATGAAAAAATCAACTGATCTGTAAAGTTTCTTTCGCTCCTCAGTTTAGTTATTTCTTCATGTGTATATAATTAACATGTATGTCACTTGTGGCGAAATTATTAGTTCCAAATTAAACATCCATTCTAGTACTGGATGAACCAAACGCACCTGGACCTGATTATCTCTGTATGTCCTCCAGGACATGATGTCAATTCAGTTTGTATTTCGCAATGTATATTGTCACATTGTACTTGCATTTCGCAGATCAATCATCACGTGATAACTCAAGTCAAACATTGTGTTTTTTACCGACAACACGCTATTTTTAGAACATCCAGCATGCTCAGTGGACGAATATATCTTTTGGTTATACCTGAGTACAAACTATTTTTAAGAGCAGTAAAAAAATCTGCATCATGCTTTCATCAAGTACAGACACAATGGCATTTCGCACACATGGGCTTCGCACACTGTACCCATGGGGACGTGGCTGGGGGGGGGGGGGGGGGGGGGGGGGAATTTTAATTAAAATGCTACCAAACTGCCCTGAAGTCTAACGTTTCTAAGATATGGACATGCATGATGTGTTTGGATTTGATCAAAATAATACATTAGAAACATGGATTTCTATTTTTTTACACAGGAAAAATAATCCTCGTATTTCTCCTTTTTACTGTTTGTTTGTTTTTTAACGCTGTGATCAGCAATATTCCAAGTTAAGATCGCAACCTGTAAATAATCAAGTTAAGACTATGCCAACCCCACCCACCCTTGAATTCTGAATACAACTTTAAACAAATCTCAAAAGCATCGAGACAAGGTTTCGAAAAAATGTATAAAGCAATGTTTTACGAACACAATTTAAAAAAGGAGAGTTGAATCTGCGTACTAAATAAATTATATTTGCGTGTGGCGTATGGCACGACTGAGTCCCGAATACCCTCCAAATAGAGACTTTGCTGTACCCAACCTCTTCAAGGCCAGTATTCATACTGATATCCTGTGAATACTGTACAGACTCCAGATATATTTTGTGTTCTGTGACAGCAGCTACTGGATACTACAAGGAGCATTATGTGGTATGAGTGTTTTGAAGGCAACGAGCGGGCCACTCAACGTCATGGCCGATGGCTCTGAGCACATGAAATCAGCTGCCCATAGGGTTATGTCGTGTAGAATCGGTCTATCTGCATCCTCAGTTGTGGATGGTTATTAACCGTTCAAAGAGTTAATTGTGCTCATTTTTTCACTGACTTGATATATTCATATTAATACACAATGCAACTGTGTAACTGACACTACAACAGATTGTGGGTGCTCAGGTACGAAAATGTCTTCCAAAATGTTGAAAGATTTTACAGCCGCTTCGGTGCATTCGAAGTGGCGAATTTAGGCTGAGCGGCGTTGTCTTCCGTGGAATAGATATGTCCTCTATTCAAGGACGACGATTTCTCTAAATAGAACACGTTTAATATACAAGAGATTTACCTTATATCTAAGTTAAGTGTCTGATTTATATAATATATATCTAAACAATATGTAACGCAATATGAATAAATGTTATTTATATATTTATCTATACACAAAATGTTTTTTAAGTATGAACTATATAACGTGTTCCTAATGTGTTCTATATTTGTGTTTAGTTCATTATATAACAGTTTCATGCTTTTTGCGAAAACTTGGAAATAATGATTCGTAATAATAATGCAATAAAAGGTGTTAAACTGAATAATATGGAACATAAACTTGGACAATATGCTGATGATACAGAATATTTCTAGATGGGACTGATGAAAGTTTAATTACAGCTATCGACAAAGTAAATAATATTTGGATAAAATGTCTGGATTAAAAATTAATTAAAAAAAACCCTAAAGCAATAGGCTCAAATCCAGGCAGTAACATCAAATTATGTCAAGATGTGAAATTTGAGTTGCACAGGTAGGATTTTGAAATATTGAAAACAAAGCTTTATCCAAACTTAAATAAGCTGTGAGTAATCAATACAAAAAATAAATTTGAAATTATTAAACGAATTTTTGGGAATTGGAAGAAAAGAAATTTAACATTGACAGGTAAAATTACAGTTGTCAAAAGCCTGGCCTTGTCACTTTTGTACATATAGTTTCTTCTCTTCCAAATGCTCCAAGTGAATATATTGATGAATTGAATAACATATTTTACAGATTTATCTGGAATGATAAAATTGATAAAATAAAACAAAGAACATTAATTAGAAAATATGATGAAGGCGGACTGAGAATGATAGAGATAAGGTCTTATCCTAGGAGAGGGCCGATGTTTCTGCTGGTGGGCTAAGTCCCTGAGTTTCATCATGAGCTCAGCAGCATTCATCTATGCTGAATACTTCTGGAAGTCCAGACAACATTGTTGCAATGTTACATTCCGCCAGGCCTCTCTACCAGTTTTCCATATGCCAATTTCTTTGTTTTCTATCAGTTCACTGCAATTTCCAATATGCGTTTTACGAAAAAAGAGGAAAAATGAGTAAATATATTTGCGGGTGTACCAACCCTACTGAATACTGTCCATGTGTTACAAGTATTGACTGTACTGGGAACGCAGTTGGCGAGCTATACACGTGTATCAACCCTACTCAATACTGTCCATGTGTTACAAGTATTGACTGTACTAGGAATGCAGTTGGGGAGCTATACACGTGTATGAACCCTACTGAATACTGTTTATGTGTTACACGTGTTGACTGTACCAGGTATATGCTTGTGTAACACGTATTGGCTGTACTAGGAATGCAGTTGGGGAGCTATACACGTGTATCAACCCTACTGCATACTGTTCATGTGTAACGCGTATTGACTGTACAAGGAATGTAGTAGCGGTGTTATACACCTGTATCAAACCTACTGAATACTGTTCATGTGTTACACGTATTGACTGTACCAGGAACGTAGAAGGGGTGTTATACACCTGTATCAACCTTACTGAATACTGTTCTTGTGTAGCACGTATTGACTGTACCAGGAATGTAGTAGGGGTGTTATACACCTGTATCAACCCTACTGATTACTGTTCATGTGTAACACGTATTGACTGTACCAGGAATGTAGTAGGTGTGTTATACACCTGTATCACCCCTACTGAATACTGTTCATGTGTAACACGTATTGACTGTACTAGGAATACAGTTGGGGTGTTATACACCTGTATCACCCCTACTGAATACTGTTCATGTGTAACACGTATTGACTGTACTAGGAATACAGTTGGGGTGTTATAGACCTGTATCACCCCTACTGAATACTGTTCATGTGTAACATGTATTGACTGTACTAGGAATGCAGTTGGGGTGTTATACACCTGTATCAACCCTACTGAATACTGTTCATGTGTAACACGTATTGACTGTACTAGGAATGCAGTTGGGGTGTTATACACCTGTATCACCCCTACTGAATACTGTTCATGTGTAACTGTATTGACTGTACTAGGAATGCAGTTGGGGTGTTATACACCTGTATCAACCCTACTGAATACTGTTCATGTGTAACACGTATTGACTGTACTAGGAATACAGTTGGGGTGTTATACACCTGTATCACCCCTACTGAATACTGTTCATGTGTAACATGTATTGACTGTACTAGGAATACAGTTGGGCAGCATTAGGTCTGTGATATTCTCCTCGGTGCCGTCTCAGGGGAGATGTTGTAACGTACTTTCTGCAACATATTTCATCACTTTCATAGAGTGATGCAGTTCCCTGATATATCTCTCTGTTGCCAAAGCAATGTCCTTTCTCGCGGATGTCTCCATCAATGTAATATGAGTGAATGAAATCAGTTTTATTGTACTTACAAATACATCAAAGGGCCTCTTATCAACGTTTCCTTCAAACCCATTCTGGTAGTCAGTGAACTTAATGATACTCGCCAATTTTTGATGAATTAAAATAAATGCCATTGATTGGTGGAGTTGACTACATACTGACCATCATGCATCGGTGAACGTCGGCCATCAAAAGAAATGGGAATACTTATCTTGGAGTATTCAGTTACTGTTTTGGAGCTGTTTACGTCATCGTAAAGAAATCAGACGTTACCTTGTGAGAAATACATAGATACAGATGAATAAATCGTTGGCTAGAATCCGCTTGAGTTCGTCAATGGTTCGAATCCAAGATTACTTCGATTGTGAGCCTTGGTTTGTTAGCTCAATACAAGTACTTCTGGCTTTCACCAATGTGGTAAACATAATAAACATTTCCGTGCCTGATATACTTGCAAACCATACGCCCCAACGCGTAATGTGTTATTTTCAACACGCAAGATAACTGCAAAGTATTTGCCACAGCCAATACAATCAGACCATTTGCCACAACAACAATGCTTCAGTGAAATATAAGTCATCACAGCCAGACAATAACCAGTCTCATTTAACCGCCGATAAAAGACGGTGACAAACTGACCACTGGTTGGTAGTCACTTGGTGCGTTTCCTCGACTATTTACATGTCACCCGAAACAACGTTCTGTTGTTTCCCAGGTAAAAGAGTTTCAAGTTTGGTCAGCTAACTTTCTTAATACACATAAAACATTGATCCTCCTGAAAATTGTTTGCGATGTATATCGATGCAGGTTTAACAGTAGAGCGAATCTGCATAGCTTCCATATCATAAGCACAGGTAAGAATTGGTGTCGCTTCCTCTTATCTGATTACCAGATGTCAGTTGTCAAGGTCTACCCGATGATTACTGTGTGGATATTTCGCAATATAAGGTTTCAAAATACAAATATCAAGGCCATCCAGCGTGTGTGTTTATGTTTGTATGTGTGTTTTGGTGTCTGGTGGGGGTGGGGTGGGTGGTTGATGGGGGGTGGGGGGTGGGGTGGGTGGTTGATGGGGGGTAGGTGCTCAGAATCTGGCCACGAAGTGTCAGCATGTTCAAATCAAAGTTGGGGCGGTCGGGTAGCCTAGTGGTTAAAGCGTTCGCTCGTCACGCCGAAGACCCGGGTTCGATTCCCGACATGGGTACAATGTGTGAAGACAATTTCTGGTGTCCCCCGCCGTGATATTGCTGGAATATTGCTAAAAGCGGCGTAAAACCATACTCACTCACTCACTCACTCACTCAAATCAAAGTTACACAGTTGCAGTTGGGTGGTTTGGTCCTTATTGTGTGATATCGAGGTACGTAAGACCTTTACACAATAAATTCACACCGGCACCGTTCTCACCGTGCAAAGAATCGGAAAGGATATTTGGGCCATATATAATAAAAATGTAAAACTGTGTCTAAAGCATCGTACGTGTATGCATATTCAGTAGAATGCGTTGGTGTTTGTAACAATGTGGAGGTGACTGAGAAGAAAACAGGCTCTGATGAATGTTTGACTTTTAGTTAAGATGATGTAAATTCAACGATGTACTGTGGCAATGATGTGGCAATCAAGAAGTGGCCAACGTCACAAGACGCCATCATTACAAAGGTTCTGATTTAGAAACGGCAAGTGTCCTGGATCTAGAGAGAACCACAGGCTCTTCTTATGCAGGTAATTCGTCTTTATGGCGTAAGAGTAGGCCGGGTATGACTCTATCTTCAACAGATCGCCTCCATTGCCTAGTGGTAGAGCGTCCGCCCGGAGAGCGGAAGGTCCGGGGCTCGATCCCCGGACGCGTCATACCGACAGACGTTAAAAGATGGTACTTCTTGTTACCCTGTTTGGCGCTCAACACTAAGGGGCTAAAACAAGGACTGGTCGGCTCGGAGTCAATATACTGTGTATGAGTGGGGTATTCATATTAAACTGCGGCATGGTATCTCATTGGGCTAACACTATAAATCGGCATCAGTCCGGACCAGTACAAGCAGCACACACACACACACACACACACACACACACACACACACACACACACACACACACACACACACACACACACACACACACACACACACACACACACACACTCACACATGCACGCACGTCGCTATATAAGTGCAATAATCTTGGACGCGACGTTAAACCCCATTTCACCTCACCTATCTTCAACATTGCATCAGTCATACGATGTGGTAGACGTTCAATAGTGCGCAACCCACTACAAGTATGATGGTGACAAATCTAGAATCATACTTGTGGCAAATATAAGTTTCGAACCCAATCAGCGGATCTCCTGGCACAACCACGCAACTCATTGGGCGTAACACGCATTTCTTCTATCAATATGTAAATGGAATTCGACACGTATACCAGTCATAAATGAGATACATTAAGACAAATCGAACTGAATGTATCATGAGCACTAAACACCAAAGGGGGAAGTAATCCTTCTCCACTGTGGCGTCTTATCCGTCAACTGTTCCTGCACATGGTCGTCTCACCTCCAGGTGTGTGCATTTCACGGTCAGAACTGCAAAATGGCGTTCCTTATTTAACATACTGCATTATCATTGTTATTACATATTTTTGTTTCGATTTATCATGGTTATGTTTGGTGGTAAGTCAGTAGCATACCAATGTTCGTGGGTTTCACCAAAGCGGCAAACATCTAAGAACTGCATCACTTCGGGCTTTGCTCCCACATGGAGCAGACACGCCGTGATATAACTGGGACATTGTACGGCGACGACGTGAAACATATGTCGTATGTGTGTGTGTGTGTGTGTGTGTGTGTGTGTGTGTGTGTGTGTGTGTGTGTGTGTGTGTGTGTTGCTGTACATATCCCTAAACTTCGATGAAGGACACAGTTTACATATTCAAGCTATTATTCTAAATGAAAGGGCGGGGCCCATGTTCGGATCGGAGCACCGAGCGAATGTTTGAAAACGAAATATGTAGTGACGCAGTTGAACAATACGCCTATATGAGCCGATTTGGGAATTTGACCATTTTTCCCAGTGACAAACACTTATGTTAAGTCTGACAGACAGGCACGTCCAAACCCTTTGGACTTTTTGAAGTTTATATATAGACTCATGATATTGTTGCAAAGCACGTACATGCATGTAATGACACTGTTTACATGTGCATACGCAGACGCCATCACCAGAACAGATAGCCACTCATGTGGTGGTATGCTAATTATTGAAAACAACTTGACATAACAATATTTTGAAACATATATTTATTGAAGAAAAGTCATCATTGTAGCTGTCTTGCTACTGACAGGAGAGGGGGACGTCGAAAACAGTTGGGTCCGTGATGCCTTTCTCGTATCCGTTAAAGTATACCTGTTTATCTAATACTGTAAAAAACAATCCATGTAATTGTAGGTATAATATATGTTGTTGGGAACTTGATTTAACGCATAGCATTACAATATTAAACATCTAACCATGAATCTAGAATATAGTCGATTTTGATTGGTCATTAAGAGGTTTCAAATCTTAATAGTGAGTGAGTATGGTTTTACGCCGCTTTTAGCAATATTCCAGTAATATCACGGCGGGGGACACCAGAAATGGGCTTCACACATTGTACCCATGTCGGGAATCGAACCCGGGTCTTCGGCGTCAAATCCTTATAACCACCACTGTTTGAAACCCCAACGGTGACTAATATTTATTGAAGTAATGAGTACTAGTACATACAGCGTCATGCTTTACGTTCTGTTGAAAATTACATTTAGTGCTGTTAAATCTATATGTAAAGTATCTTTATATTAATAACACAGTATGTTTGTCTTCTACTTAGAAGACCGGGAAATGCAGGGAATATATTCATGCTCCGCCTTTGGTGTCATGCCTTGTAATGTTAGGGGGAGGGGGATGCATGTGAGAATCAAAATTGAATATCTCGTGCCACATTAATATCTAACACGTGTGCACTAAATACATTATATTAACGACGTTTATTCACCTTCTATCATGTATCGAACATGATATTTTTTGACGATACCCTGGAATATCAGGATACATTCGGGGTTGGTGACACCCACGGTGACGTTGGCAGAGCCGCTAGTATAGACCCAGGTGTCAGATTTCAGCCAGCTTGCCTCTTCGCCGACATAGCTGGTTCCAAGGTGCATGCTGTTTTCTATATGGGAGGAGACCACTTTTAAACCTTTATAAATATGAGCTTTTGTGCTTTACACCTTTTGTAGCAGTATTTCATTTGTATGTGTCAGTTTGAAATTTATAGAAAAGACTGTAGTGACTAACATCCTCGACGTTTACCAGCTCGTGGAACTCTACCATGACAAGTATGGTGCATAAAGCCCAGGGACGGTGATTAAGCCGAAACTGGGATTTCAAACCTTATTGACAGCCAAACGAGATAACTCCGCACATCTTGTTACGATATTAAGATCACCAGCCGGATCTTAATAGATGTTTTGTATTAGCGGTGTCTAACTTGTTTGCTAAATCACGCTGTTAGGCTATGCATATAAAGCCTTATCCCAAAGTCACCACTGTTGAATGCAAAGAGTAGAACTAGTACCAGAGAATGGTAGGTCACGTGAGAATAAATTCAAAAGTATTAGTAAGTATTGTTTCACGGTTTTAGTAAGTTATGTTTCAGCGGTTTTACGCCGCTTTTAGCAATATTCCAGCAATATCACGGCGGAGGATACCAGGAACACATTGAACACATGTAGGGAATCGAACCCGGGCTTTTGGCGCGACGAGCAAACGCTTTAACCACTAGGCTACCCCACCGCCTCTTCACCAGTTTGAAATGTACAATGTGGGTAAAAGCAGTAATGACTAATATATTATATGTTTTGTTACAAAACAATGAAAAAAACCAACATGATATGCAAAATAATCATATGTTGTATTCATATAAAGTTCTTAAGTGGCAATTGAAGAAATTCGCAAACGCAAATTTATAGCAGCATGCCATCCGTTTCGTATCTTTTCAACAAACATGTACCATTAGGAAAAAATAAAAATGTGAAACAATATAAAAAGATAATTATTACTTGGGGGCATTCAGATGATTAAAATGTAAAATTCCAATACACCTCCAATTCCCCGAGTTGTGTGTGGTGCCCGACTACCGATTAACAACATACCGACTTTAAGTTAGTCAAGGAAAAAATGAGCATCTTACTAAATGACCTAAACAAAGAGCAAGTGTGACCGTGACATAGACACCTACTCGGGATGCAGTTTGGTAGGACGAACTCTTTCTGTATGTTCTTTATGCATCTTCCATCAGGATAGATGTCGTATTGTGCATTCTGCAAAATCAAAATCATGTTTTAGACAATATTGCAGGTCATGACACACCGTCGTGGACTAAACCACGGTTTATCAGATTTGGTATACCTCAATAAAATGTAGACACCTGATTGGGTGATATATCGATGGGCTGTATGCACCTGATTGAATGACACCTCGATGGAGTTGTGGCACTTGATTGAATGACACCTCGATGGAGTTTTTCGCACCTGATTGAATGACACCTCGATGGATGTTTGGCATCTGATTGAATGGCACCTCGATGGATGTTTGGCATCTGATTGAATGAGACCTCGATGGATGTTTGGCACCTGATTGAATGAGACCTCGATGGATGTTTGGCACCTAATTGAATGAAACCTCGATGGATTTTTGGCATCAGATTGATTGAAAACCTCAATGGATGTTTGGCACCTGAATGAGTGAAACCTCAATGAAATTTTTGGCACCTGATTGAGTGAAACCTCGATGGATTTATGGCACCTTATTGAGTCATTCAAAGTCCTGTATAGTGCTTAATGGTGTTAGACAACTGTTATAGAAACAGAGTTTTCACTTAGGTCAGACCTGCCCTTGTTTTAGCCCCTTAATGCCGAGCGTCAAGCAGGGTAACAACAAGTACCATCTTTTAACGTCGTGTGGTCCGGTGATCGAACCCCGACATTCCGCTCTCTGCGTGATGTGTGCACACTTTAACCACTACACTACCCCACTCCGGGCAGACGCCTTCTCCACTAGACCACGGCGGCGGTCAGATAACAGGGTGGACCAACCCAAGATAACTGTAGCTACGAAGGGGACCCGATCCGTGAAGATGCGGGGTAGAATAGGTCTTCAGAAACGCATGCTTGCCATAAAAAGGCGATTATGCTCGTGGAAAGAGGCAACTAATGGGATCGGGTGGTCGGACTCGCTGACTTGGTTGATTCATGTCATCGATCCCAATTGCGTGGATCGATGCTCATGATATTAATCAGTGGATTGTCTGGTCCAGACTCGATTATTTACAGACCGCCGTCATATATCTGGAATATTGCTGAGTACGGCGTTAAACAACAAACCAACCAACCAGCGAAGGGGACCCATACCTCAACGAACTATGAAATTTGGACAATTTCCCGATGTACAAAAGTATGTATATACCTTTACGTCCGACGTGACAACTCTATTTGCCTTCACGCGTGATCCAGTCTGATAATACTGGGTGGCAGTGGATCTTTTGGTGAAGTCGTAGTAGAAGTCCGCTGCTACCTAAAGTATAGACGATATTTGGAGCGATCAAACAGGCCAAGTGATCAAACTTTCCAGGGTGAACATTTCTAGCAGATGATTTCATATGTATTACAGTCGGTTTGTTCTGGATTTGGAAACACTGTCACATAATATCAATAATGGATACTGAATAGCTACTTTTTACTACTACTACTACTACTACTACTACTACTACTACTACTACTACTACTACTACTACTACTATCCCGTGAAGATCCAGGGTAGAATAGGTCTTCGGTAACCAGTTGTGGCCAGAAAAGGCGACTATGCTTGTCGTAAGAGGCGACTAACGGGATCGGGTTGTCAGGTTCGCATGATGTCAGGTCACTGAGTTGTCTGGTCCTGACTCCGTTAAAAATCAAACTACTACTACTACTACTCATTCTTTGAGTATTCAAGTTAACTATATTGATAGTCGTATCTCTTACACGCCACAAATATTAATTGTATCGTTATAAACACCGAGCTGTATAGTACAAATGCCAATTTCGCTGTGATATACTTACGTCAGTTCCATCATCGTAAACGTGAACGTCGTACCTAGTGGCTGACCATTGAGTTTCCATGCAACAAGGTTCGACCTGCGTTTTGACGGCCGCAAGGCAGGACAGAGTGACCAGGAGTAGCAGCATGATGGACAGAAAACGTAGGTGGGTATGGCGGAGATAAACTGACTGCTAGTCATATAATCATGCGTTTCTGCGACTGTTTATATATTTACTTGATACAATGAGGAACAGCGTTCAATTCAGTCAAATAAAAGATTGGTTTTCAGTTCCAATTTAGGTAACCGATCTCCATGGTAAGTGAAACAAGTGACCTTACTGGCAACCGTTTGAAATGTATGCTGATGCAGGTTAAACAGTCGAGCCAGTATTTACAGGTTCTTCATTACAAACACATGACAGCAATGGTTCCATCAAACGGATCCTAATCCGTTTATCTATTTACCAGGTGTAAGATTCACATACTGTGCACATTGCGAAATATGAGCCAAAGTTGCAACATGTGGATTGCATTGGATTTAAACACGTCTACCTTTGGATGATATTATGTTTCCAATGTCCAGGAAGCCCTTGACCCTCATCTCCTCTTCGGCGAACGTCGAACGTCGAACATATATAGTGGCTGACCAATTATTGCTTGCATAACAAGGTGTGTGACGGCAGCCAGACGGGGTAGAGTGATCAGGAGTAGCAGCATGTGTCAGGAGTAGCAGCATGTATCGGTTCCTCACTACAAACACCTGACAGCATTGGTTCGATCAACGAGATTCAAAATCAGTGTATATTTCGCAATATATAAAAAGGTATTTTATACATGTCTGTACTTTTGACGAGATTGTTTCTTAGGCAAAGGGCACTTATACGTTCCTTATGGTACTCTGATCAAGATCCACACGATACACATTAATTGTATATATCGTAATGTAATCGGGTAGATAGTCTGGCATTATGTTTGTGCTCTATCCTTGATAAACATTGTGTTTGTGCTCTATCCTTGACATAATCCTTCTAAACGTAAACTCAAAAGAGATCTTATCGCATGTTAATACACTTGTATGCAAACATATACAGTTAATGTATCGTAAATTACGCGACAAAACCCTTTCCTTATCCAATAAAAATCTCAGAAAATAGGTCGATAGTACGATTCCGACTATATCATGAGCATGTGTTTATGAATCACTATCAAATAATTATGATACCAGGTGTTCGAGAAAAGGTGATCGAATCCCATTCAACCGGTGACACATGTCACAAACACATGCAAAGGCAACAACACAGGAATGTATTGTACAATTCAAAATTGGGAATTGCATCTGACATCATTTTTGCACTGATGCGTCAGCTTTGGAAATCTCCTTCACATGTCGACCACAAAACGTTTTGAAAGCTTTGCTGAGGCCTTGAATGTCGTAACCTTTTAAAACCAATTTCTGAGCAAGAGTCGTATGACGCTCTTTGAAATCTTGGTAGAAAGAACATGCTCGAACAATTGTGAAACATAAACACTAAAGGCTGGAGCTGCTGGAATATTGATCATTGATCAGGAAGAGAAAGTTGACTATTGGAAAGTTGAAGTCATCCCTCTTGTCATACAGTCATGTGGAGAATGTTTTGTCTCTTTGAATCTTTATGCATAAATCTAAATATTAAACAGATGAGGCGGTCTCACTGGTCTCCTATATTTCTAGCACAGGTTGGTAAATCAGTGGAAGGGAATTGGCTATTTGATTGTTATTGAACGATATCATATAATCGATATACATGTACCTGAAGCTTAATTTAAACTTCTTGGCCAAATTACCTTGTTTTGACTTCGATATCGAGTAGAAATACCGATTTATATGTATAAAGAAACAGATCCACAGGAAGAGGAGCAAAATTGGTGCCCATGGGGATTCCTACTTCTTGCCTGAATGTCTTACCCCCACATTTTACGTAGATGTTATCAATGAGGAAGTCCAGCATTTCACATACTGTTTTCTCAGTATACTTCAGATGATATTTGCTTTCATTTGTTGCAAATTGTCCTGAATCTCTGAATGTAGATACGTAACTGTATCTGTGGCCACCACGTTTTGAAACTAAAGCAACATGGATCAAGGCATGAAGTTTTCCCTTAAGTTTTCCATGTGGGAATGTAGTGTACAAAGTTGAAAAATCAAATTGTTCTTTTCAGAGATTATGAATCCCACTTGTCTTAAATACTTCTTTGAATATAAAGTCCTTCCTTTATTGCATTAAGGAGTAAGGTTAGTCTTTGAGACAGGGATTTTGTGGTACATTTGCTCGACCCCGCAATATCTCTCTCTTTGTACGTGTTTTTATGGAGCTTTAGAATCCAAAACAAAAGAGGAATGGACATGTCTTAAAGTTTTACAGTCAAAGCAAAAGTTGACAGTACTTATGCTTGGTGTTGGCAGATTTCTTTCCCAGTTAACATAATGGCATTATATGTGACATTATTTGATATGTCATTTATACCAAGTTCTTTGATTAAAACGATTAATGTAGTGACGCTTACACATAATGGTTGTGTTATTTGAGGCTTTGTCTACACTACTTAGCATGTAGGTCAGCCAGACTTTAGATGACAGCTGGCTGGGACAGAATGGCTGTGTTCCATTGTCGTTACCTCTTTGAAAGTTTTTGCATTCTATCAATGGCAACTTAACCCACCAAGAAGACATTCAACAAGCTCCTATTCTCTTTTCGCCCATTTTTGGCATACTCGTCGACAGCATTTATAAAAAATTTAAACTTGTGATCCCAATTGCTAGGAGATTGGAATACAATGTGGATTCTCAAAATCTCATGAAGTATTTGCTTGACTTGTTAGAAGAACAAAATTCAATTCTGTCATATCATTTGATTTTTCAATTTTGTACACCACCATCCCTCATGGCAAACTTTAGAAAAAAATTCATTCATTGTCTTCGTTTGCCTTTTGTGATGACACGTGCGTGGTGACCATAGATACAGGCAATTCAATTGTTTACATGCCCCCCAAAAAGAAATACGGGGACAAATGGTACAAGTCAACATAGGAATTCCATCATTTTGGTCACTGATGCAACAAATTAAAATTGCCCTCCACGTCTTCCATGGACTATTTTGAAAGCTTTGACTATGACCTTGAATGCAATAACCCCGACTTTATTCCAGCAGCTTCAGCCTTTGGTGTCTACGTTTCAAACCTTTAGAGGACGTACAATCGAGCTTGCTCTTTCTACGAAGTTTTCAAAGTGCTTCTTACGACTATTGCTCTAACGTCATGGTTACAGCATTGAAAGGGTGGAGGACATTTCCAAATTTGGTACATCAATGACCAAGAGGATATCCGATGCAATTCCCTGTTTTGGCGATATGTTCTCGCGTTCATTTTAGGTTCACATTAGACGTGCCTTTACATGTGTTTGTGAAGGGTGCCACCTGAGAACACCTCGTATCATGACTATTTGACAGTGATTCATATTGATTCATATGATTATGGAATTGATTGTATTGTTTTTGTACATGTATGAGGAAGTTGATTTAATTTGACTGCATGGTTTCTTGTCATCATACAAATCCCCGTTATAACATTATAATTAGCGGATAAACATACTGTATTTTCAACGTGTTTTAAGTGGGTGGATCTGAATTACGGAATCGCCGTCAACAGCCGGAAAGATGGGTCAAATTCTCAAAACTAATATGGACGTATAGTTCGGCAGCGATGCAACATGGCTTTTTCACACTTTTGTTTGGGGCTGCTATCCGAACAGGGGCATCCGTTCTTTCAGTTAGTATAGCAATTGAGTATAGAAACGTTGTCCTTCTCCGAAGTTTCCCAAGGGTTCTGTAGAGCACGACAGGCCTATACATGATGAAAGAAATACATATTTGTCCAAGGTTGTGAATGAGTGATATGTTTCACGCCGCCGTCGCCGCCATACAATGTTACAGTGCAAAAATAATTGCTTGGTTAGCCAATCAAATGCCAAAGAATCACTTATAATTTATTTATATCACCTCAACTTAAAGTCAAACCGACCACCTTCGTGGTCTAGTGGTAGAGCGTCCGCCCGGACAGTGGAAGGTCCGAGGTTCGATCCCCGGCCGTGTAATACCAAAATACGTTAAAAGATGGTACTTGTTATTACCCTGTCTGGCGCTCGGCATTAAGGGGCTAAAACAAGAACTGGTCGGCTCGGAGTCAGTATACTGTGTCTGAGTGGGGTATTCATGTTAAACTGCGGCATGGTATCATAGTGGGCTAACACTATAAATCGGCATCAGTCCGGACTAGTACAAGCAGCCACACACACACACACACACACACACACACACACACACACACGTGCATGCACGTCGCTATATAAGTGCAATAATCTTGGACGCGACGTTAAACCCAATTCCACCTCACCTCACCTAATGTAAAACCGTCATCAGAGCCTGTGATTATGTGTGGTTTCAAAGCGCTAGCCCATTAAGCTTACACTTTTTATAGAAAGCTCAAGCTCTAAAGAGCTATGTTTTACCAAAATATTAATGATCTCTTGACGATTTAAGATTAGTTAAGGTTCCTGGCCATCTTCGCTTGCCGTACGAGGCGACCAACTGAATCAGGAGATAACGATTTCGTATCTTCGTTCCCCGACGGATGGTCTGGTCATTCCTCGACCATATACAGGCAGTCGCTATATAGTTGGAAAGTTGCTGAGTTCTACGTTAACCAATTTACAAACAAACGAACACAGTTATGAAATGCAGTTATAAATAAACAAAGTTAAAGTGAAACCGTCATCAGGGCCTGTGATTATGTATAGTTTGAAAGTGCTAGCCCATTAGGCTTTCACTTGCAAATATTTGATAGGGCTAATGGATTGTAGAAAGCTCAGGCTCCAGAGTGCTATGTTTTACAAAAAATATTAATGATTTCTTGACGATTCAAGATAAGTTAAGGTTCCTGACAATCTTCGCTTGTCGTACGAGGCGACCAACTGAATTAGGAGATAATGCTCGGAAGCCTCGTTGATTTCGTATCTTCGTTCCCCGACGGATGGTCTGGTCACTCCTCGACTATGTACAGGCAGTCGTTATATAGTTGGAAAGTTGCTGAGTTCTACGTTAACCAATTTACAAACAAACAAACAAACAAACTGCATTTATTCACGAGTTAGTAAGTTGAACTCGAAATATAGGAGACCAGTGAGACCGCCTCGTCTGTTTCATATTTAGATCAATGCATACTGATTCAATAAAAGATTCATTAAAGTGACTAAAAAGCCTCCACAAGACTGTATGACAAGAGGGATGACTACAACTTTCCAATAGTCTTTCCCTTATTACTATTACAGACCGCCTCCGTGGTCTTGGGGTAGAGCGTCCGCCCGGAGAGCGGAAGGTCCAGGGTTCGATCCCGGGCCGCGTCATACAAAAAGACGTTAAAAGATTGTACTTGTTGTTACCCTGTCTGGCGCTCGGCATTAAGGGGCTAAAACAAGGACTGGTCGGCTCGGAGTCAGTATACTGTGTCTGAGTGGGGTATTCATGTTAAACTGCGGCATGGTATCTCAGTGAGCTAGCACTATAAATCGGCATCAGTCCGGACTAGTACAAGCAGCCACACACACACATACACGTGCATGCACGTCGCTATATAAGTGCAATAATCTTGGACGCGACGTTAAACCCAATTTCACCTCACCTATTACTATTACAACAGCTCCAGGATTTGGTGTCAACATATCACAAGGTTTGAGGTGCAATTGAGCATGCTCTTTCTATCACGATTTCAAAGAGCATCATATAACCCTTGCTCAAAAGTTGTTTGATCAGGATTACAACATTTAAGGCCTCAGTAAAACTTTCAAAACGTTTTATTGTAGACTTATGGAGGACACAAATTTGACTAATTATTGACCCAAAGTTGTGTCCGATGCAATTCCCTATTTCGACTTGTACCATATGTTCCCGTGTGGTTTCGGGCGAACACTGACTTGCCTTGCACGTGTTTGTGACGGGTGCCTCTGGATTGGCAGGATACGCTTACCTTTTCGAGAACACCTGGCATCGTCACTATTTGATATTTATGCATGAACACATGCTCAAGATGTAGTCGGAATCGTACAACCGTATTTGCTTTAGACAGAGATTTCTTATAAATATGGGAAAGGGTTTTGAAAAACGGTTTTATTTACAGATTTGTGTTTTGTGTAGTATAGTAGTCACGGTCGAACAGAAAACAGCAAGGACTGGAGTTCTGAGAGGGTTAATCGAGTCATTACTTTGAGGCTTTTCAGTGGCCGTGATGAAGCTGGAATATTGCTGTCGGTGGCGGTAAACAACATTTTGCCATGTTTGGGAAAATAAGTTGAGTATGATTGATCAGTCAAAGGTTTCTATTCACAATAAACAATAAACGACTGTTTTACTGACAGATGTGGGTTTCCTTTAGCTAAAACTCCTAACTGTATAGTATAATGACTCGCATTGAAAATGTTACACGACGATTCTAAGATAAAATCGCATTCTTAACATGTGTTATATATACTATATTAACTGTCTGTAGCAAATGCTAGGTGTTTAATAATTCATTGAACTATCGATAAAGCAACGAGATTAAGTTCAAATGACGATAGTTGGCTTGTTTGGCTATCAATGGTTTCAGTGCACATAAGACAATAAAAAAACAAACGTATAATCACCTAGTATATACTTTATCATGCACTTTCAGTAAGAGAGTAATCTAATGTGTTTAACAGTTAAATATGCAATAGTCAAACCGAGCACTTGTCAGGATTGATCGGAGGAAGCCAAAATAAACCAGAGAAATGTCATAAAGACAAGACGCGCGCACGCACGCACGCGCACAAAAATACACGAACAAAAACACCCATAAAGACAAATACACACATACAGACACACATATACACAGAGACACACACTCACACGCAGAGACTCGTACGCACACACAGACACACGCTCACTCACACACTCACACACACACATACTGGATAGCCTTGATCTTTGTATTTTGAAACCCTTGACTAATACTGCGAAATATACACACAATGTGCATCATGTAAATGTCACACCTGGTAATCTGATAAGCAGAAGTGGCTCTGTTTGATCGAAAAATGCTACCCTGTGTTTCTGATGAGGTACCTATATTGATTCGCTCTACTCTTTAACCTGTAACCATTTTCATCTCAAACAGTTTTCAGGAGGTTCACTCTTTTATGTGTATGAAGCCAGTTAGGTGACCTAATTAACTTCAACCGAAATCTGTTGACTCTGCAACAATAGAACGTTGTTCCCAATCATATGTAAATAGTCACAGAAACGAATCCAGTGACTATAAAACTAATCGTCAGTTTGTCACTGTTGTTTTATCGGACGTCGTGGTGTCCACCATGCTGCTAGTCCTGGTCACTCTGTCCTGCCTGGTGGCTGTCCAAGCTCAGACACTTCCTTGCTGCATGATGGACAAACAATGGTCAGCCACAATGATCGACGCCCAAATCATGGTCAAAGGAAATAACGTGAGTTACACTTTTACCCTTATCCTTTTCGCGAACACCTGGTGTCACCACTGATTTTCAGTGATCTATTCATATTATTGTCATCACCGCTATTTTGGATTTTAAGCCCAATCGAAACTGGTTATTCTCTGTCGTTGACGACTTATATTTCACCCAAACATTGTTGCTATGGTACATAGCCAGATTATATTATCCTTGAGAGATCTAATTCGATACAACTATCTTGGTTGTTCAATGTAACACATTCCTCGTACATGTTTCGACGTTCAATTAGTATTTGCCACTCGTTCAAAGGCATAGTCGGACGTTACATCGCATTCGTAAAAAACACACGCACGGTCTTGTGCTAACAGACCAAGGATCATAATGGAAGCAGTCTTGGATTCGAACCATTGACCAGTCCAAGCGGATTAGAGTCAAAGATTCGTACATCTCTTTCGGTGTTTTTCTTTCCAGGTAACGTCTGATTTCTTCTACGATGGCGTAAACAGCTCCATTTCGATTCAGTACTATGAGTTTGGAAACACACGACGTGTACGACTGAACAAAACAGTAACATTATACTCCAAGGTAAGTATTTCTCTTTTGTCATATAATTTGATGGCCGATGTTCACCGATGCCTGATGGTCAGTATGTAGTCAACTCCACCAATCAATGGCATTTATTTTAATTCATCAAAAATTGGCGAGTATCAGTCATGTTCACTGACTACCAGAATGGGTTTGAAGGAAACGTTGATTATATGCCCTTTGATGTATTTGCAAGTACAATAAAACTGATTTCATTCACTCATATTACATAGATTGAGACATCCGCGAGAAAGGCCATTCCACTGGCGACAGAGATGTATGTCACTTAACTATTTATTACATAAACTACAGAGCCCTGCATCACTCTGTGAAATTGATGTAATATGTTGCAGAAAGTACGTTACAACATCTCCCCTGACGGAAACTGCACCAAGAAAAACATCACAGACCTAATGCTGCCTTACTGCATTCCTGGTACAGTCAATACGTGTGACACATGAACAATATTTAGTAGGGTTGATACACGTGTATAGCTCCCCAACTGTATTCCTGGTACAGTCAATACATGTTACACGAGAACAGTATTCAGTAAGGTTGATACACGTTGAACTGCCCAACTGCATTCCTAGCACAGTCAATGCGGGAACACATGAACAATATTCAGTAGGGTTGATACACGTGTACAGCTCCCCAACTACATACCTGGTACAGTCAGTACGTGTTACACGAGAACAGTATTCAGTAAGGTTGATACACGGTGAACTGCCCAACTGCATGGGTGGCGGTAGTGGAGCTGCCACCAACACGCTATGAAAACGCTTTGTGACATTTAGGAAATGATTTAACAGCAAACACAAAGAAACCGAAAACATTGGTATATGGTAGTGAGGCCTGACGGCATGTAACATTGATTTAATGTTGTCTGAGTTTGAATCCTCAATCATCTGGATAAAATCGTCCAATTACTTGCTACGTATCAATAGTCAAAGTCTACAATACGTTTTCATAGTGTTTTAGTATATGATGTTGAACATATCTTAACTGCGATTCTAATTATCGCTTCTAGTGTCAATGGTTTTCATGAATGGGCGATATCAATGCTGACTCGTGACAGATATTGCCTTTTGTTCAAATGGTGGTTCCAAAATATACCTTGTGAGTTGAATTATAACCGGGGACGATCAGCTGAACTACACAAGTGTGAGACAGAGATTTTTCAAGGTAAATTCAGGATGGGTGTAGTCAAAGGTTGCCGATCAGTAAATGGCTATAGCAACTCGAATGAATGCACGTGACTCGTTTTGTTCAGACACGGCCCTTTACAGAGGATCCAGCTATCTGGGCGATGAAGGGTCGATGCTGAAAATTGATGGTTGGCATTTCCCCCTCGGCTCACTCAACATCACCATGAGCGTCAGCGACTACGACTGTGTCCCCATCATCGCTGGTGTTGCGGGAATGTCAGACTACTGTTAGTTCCAAGTTTGACTTAAGTAGATTATATTCACTTGCCTTGTTTCGCTAGCGACCTCAGCAATCCGACTGTTGTAAGTTGATGGAAGAGTGACAGTCGGAGAGCTAAATCTGTTTTGTGGAACGAGGCCAAGAACATGAACCACAAGTGAAGTTCAGTTAATAATAATAATAATAATAATAATAATAATAATAATAATAATAATAATAATAATAACAATAATAATAATAATGATAATACATAGGCCATATTTTCAAATTGACCATAATTTTATTTATCTTGTTTGTAACCATAACAAGATTCATTATCAGGAAATATGTAAACTGGACGGTTTCAAATATCTTCCGAATCTCTAGTCTCTCGCTGTATTTGTAGAACCCTTAGCAACCTTCCCAACAATCTCCTGCTGTCCACTTTGTTGTGACTTCTTATAGCAGTTCTTGTCTCCAGCTCCATTCAACACGCTGCTTTACTTCAACGGGCATAAAGCGGGTATCACAGATCCAACTGCTTTCGACGTTCCAAGTAATTGTTGATTAACAAGGTATCTGATGTTGCAATCACTGACCCGACATCTTTGACATGTGCCTTTTGCCTGTTTTGTCATTCATATTATTACTGCAGCATTTAATAACCAGTAATCATTACTGTGGTAGTCAACACATGGTCCACTTTGACACACTTCTGCAAAACTAGCATAACCGTAGAAATCCGTTTTTTACGTGGTAATGTTTCGAAGTTATATGATTTGGTTTTAACACGATCGATGCCGTGCAATTTACCATGCTCATTCTAATTTATGAACAGAAAGTATAAAACGAAAGATAATCACCATCACAGAGAATAATCTTGTATTGACATATAATCGTAATGTTGTCTGAGGCCTTGTCAACGAGAACGACTACAAACGTTTCATGTTGTTAGACAGACTTTTTTGAGGACAGCTGGCTGAGACAGATATGGTTTATTCCAATTCCATTTCCTCTTTTTTAGTTTGTGCATTCCACCAATGACAACATCACGCACTGACGTAACCCACTCTGAAAGACATTCACCAACTTCATCTTCGCTGTGGGCCCACCTTTCCGCAAACACGTGACAGAATTCATTACCATATTTAAGTTAAAATCCCAACTGCTAGCAGGCTGTTCTTGATATTTTGGGCCATATATGAATAACTGACGAAGGTTGTCATTGTCAACAATATCGAAGTCACCTGTGATTATATGACCTATAGGTTGACAGTCCCATGTAGTGAATATAAATTGTGTGCTGCCAAGCCCACGCTCTGCAACAGTTACTTATGATTGAACAACTTGGATGAGAAGCTATTCGCATAGGCAAATGAATTTGTTGGTGGTTCCTCAAATTATTTTGTGGCATTTAGGGAAACTGATTTATTTCTGAGAATGTTATTCAAATCAAACACATCAATTCAAATTGAAAAATTCAAATTCAGGAACACGCGGTCTTGTCTTGTTTTAGTGGAGTCTCTTTTAGTTTCAAACCTTTCAAAGCAAAATCAAGATTGAACCATACTCTATAATCGATACTGTGGGTCTTTGCTGTACACGTGCCAGTTAATATATATAGTTAGAAGATTGTTGATCAATACACGTATCATGGTACTATCATTGACTCGAAATTGTTATGAAAAGCTGAGAAAGAGTTTATCTCCTTCCTCTTTCACATCTTAAAAATAAAAATGAATGAACTTTTATGCCACTCTTCTATAAGATCTTTATTTACCGGAAAACGATTATCCATTTTAGGCATATTATATCCATTTAGAGTAATTGTTTACATTTTATCCTCACACAGTTTACCTTTACTGACCCATTACTATCTAAATTTATGAGTATTGATAAATTACACTTTCAGTGTTTGTTTTACTCGCCTTATTTAACTATTATTTATTTCACTATGTAAGTATTTTAAATTCTGAATTTCTAGTGTTGACGTGTGGCTTTGTGTTGCATTGTTACGTTTGTTTGTCGTGCTCAGAACACACATGGCAAGTTCACAATCCCATATATCGATGTGTCATAAGATGGACACATAGGTTTAGAGTAACCAGTAAATTCAATGAACAAAACCTATTTTAATCATGTTTGAAAGTACAGCCGTTGGAACTATTCTGGAAGAGTCTGAAACAAACAATAGAATATTTATTTTTTTTATAACATTTTGACAGTCAAAATGGTACCAAAGGTTCTATAACACTAGATTATGAGAATTACTACAATGCAGCAATCATATGAATTTCTTAACTCAACTGTTTAGTGTTTCATCCTTCACATAAGGGGTAATATGGATGGGTGTGTACTCGCCAATCTTTGATGAATTAAAATAAATGACATTGATTGGTGGAGTTGACTAAATGCTGACCATCAGGTTTCGGTGAACTTTGGCCATCAAATTAGATGACAAAAGAGAAATACTTACCCTGGAGTATGAAGTTACTGTTTTGTTCAGTCGTGCACGTTGTGTGTTTCCAAACTCATAGTACTGAATCGAAATGGAGCTGTTTACGTCATCGTAGAAGAAATCAGACGTTACCTGGAAAGAAAAACACCAACATATGTGTACGAATCTTTGACACTAATCCGCTTGGCCTGGTCAATGGTTCGAATCCAAGACTGCTCCCATTATGATCCTTGGTCTGTTAGCACAAGACCGTGCGTGTGTTTTTCACGAATGCGGTAAACGTCCGACCATGCTTTTGAACGAGTGGCAAATACTACTTGAACGTCCAAACATGTACGCGGCATGTGTTTCATTGAACAACCATAATAGCTGTAACTTGCATCTTTCACGGATAATTCAACCTCGCTATTTACCATAACAACAATGCTATAGAGACGATAAAGAAATATGACGATAGAGAATGACCAGTCTCGATTTTCCGCCGAAACAGATTCCAATCGGCGCAAAATGCAAAATAGGGGTGACAATATATTATATGAATAGACCCCTGAATTCAGTGATGACACCAGGCGTTTGCGAAAAGGATAAGGGCAAAAGTGTAAACTCACGTTATTTCCTTTGACCATGATTTGGGCGTCGATCATTGTGGCTGACCACTGTTTGTCCATCATGCAGCAAGGAAGGGGCCGAGCTTGGACAACCTGTTACTAGCCCAGCACAATATGTTAGCATGTACGAATCATAGTTCGGGTGGTTTGGTTCTCGTTGTATGATTAAAACAACATTTTATACAATGAATTTCCACCGCAATACATTGGAACGGATATTTGATCAAATAGCATTAAAATGTACAAATGTGCCTTGTACGTGTATGCATATACAGAAGAATTCGTGAATGTTTGTAACAACGTGGAGGTGAAGAAAACAGGCACAAAGACATACAAAACTGAAACTGTCTTTATGACATTTCGGTGGTTATTTTAGCTTCATCCGGTCCATCTTGACAAGTGCTTGGTCGGACTATTGCATATATAACTCCCCACCAAATAGCCGATGTAGGGTTCATTGAGTTCGGTTTGAACAATATTCCAGATATATCACGGCGCGTCAGTTTAATGTGGGGAGAGGAAAGTACGAAGTGATGCAGGTGTCACACGTTTATCAGTTAGGTGAAATCCACGAGCACGATTAAGGTGCTGATAAACCTAGAACCATAATTGGGGCGAGCCGGGATTCGAACCCACAATCACAGGTTTCTGACGTGACCAAGGGGCGCAACTCTCCACATCCAAATCCGGCGACTTATACGACAGGGCCACCCGTGCCCCCGGTTCACTGATAGCTTATGCAACATCGCTAAATGCAATAAATCAGAAGTTGTTATGCATTAAGTTGTATGTTTTCCTTACTTAAAAAATACCTTCTGAAACGCCAGTCAAAAACAGTTAGGAGTTGAGGGGTGTTATCTTCGAGAAAAACACATCTGTCAGTAAAACAGTCGTTTATTGTGAATAGAAACCTTTGATTAACCAATCATACTCAACCAATTTTCCAAATCAAAGCAGAATGTTGTTTACCGCCAACGACAGCAATATTCAAGCATCATCACTGGACCAGGCAAACCAGTGACTGAAAGTATGAGCATCGATCCAAGTAACGGGGCGAAGTAATGACTGGATTAACTTGCAGGAACCCTATCAGAACCCCAGCCGTACATTAGCTTCAACCCTTGCTTTTTCTGTTCTAGGCTATGACTACTATTCTGACACAAAACACATATCTGTAAATAAAACCGTTTTACAAAACCTTTCTAGATTCACAAGAAATCTCGGTCAAAAGCAGAGTCGATTGTACGATTCCGACTACATCATCAGCATGTGTTTATAAGTCACTATCAAATAGTGACGATACCAGGTGTTCTCGAAAAGGTAAGCGTATCCTGCCACTACAGAGGCACCCGTCACAAACACGTGCAAAGGCAAGTCAGTGTTCGCCCGAAACCACACGGGAACATATGGTACAAGTCAAAATAGGGAATTGCATCGGACACAACTTTGGGTCAATAATTAGTCAAATTTGTCAATGTCCTCCTTATGTCTACCATAAGACGTTTTGAAAGCTTGACTGAGGCCTTGAATGTTGTAATCTTGATCAAACAACTTTTGAGCAAGGGTTATATGACGCTCTTTGAAGTCCTGACAGAAAGAGCAGGCTCGATTATACCTCAAACGTAGTGATATGTTGACACCAAATCCTGGAGCTGTTGTAGTAGAAATAAGGGAAAGACTAAGACTATTGGAAAGTTGAAGTCATCCCTCTTGTCATATAGTCTTGTGGAGTTTTTTTTGGTCACTTTAGTGAATCTTTCATTGAATCAGTATGCATAGACCTAAACAGTTGAGGCGGCCTCACTGGTCTCCTTTATTTCGAGTTCGATTTACTAAATCATGAATAACTGCATTTCATAACTGTGTTTGTTTGTTGGTTGGTGAACGTAGAACTCAGCAACTTTCCAACTATATAGCGACTGCCTGTATATGGTCGAGAATGACCGGACCATCCGTTCAGTTGGTTGCCTCGTACGACAAGCGAAGATGGCCAGAAACGGGTCTCACTGGTCTCCTTTATTTCGAGTTCAACTTACTAAATCGTGAATAAATGCAGTTCAAAACTGTATTTATTTGTTTATTTGTTTGTAAATTGGTTAACGTAGAACCATCCAACTATATAACGACTGCCTGTATATAGTCGAGGAATGACTGGACCATCAGTCGGGGAACGAAGATACAAAATCAACGAGGCTTCCTAGCATTATCTCCTGATTTAGTTGGTCGCCTCGTACGACAAGCGAAGATTGCCAGGAACCTTAACTAATCTTGAATCGTCAAGAAATCATTAATATTTCAGTAAAACATAGCACTCTAGAGCTTGAGCTTTCTACAATCCATTAGCCCTATCAAACATTTGCAAGTGAAAGCTCAATGGGCTAGCACTTTCAAACCATACATAATCACAGGCTCTGATGACGGTTTGACTTTAACTTGAAGTGATATTAATAAATTGTAATAACGTTATTCTTTGGCATTTGATTGGCTAACCAAGCAATTATTTGTGTATTTATGTTTCCAGAAAACAAAAAATACTCAGGCCACGCCCACTAACGTACTGATTGGCTAATAATAGAATGGACGGGGCTTGTGTTGCGTGAATGTGCTGAATGATGTCACCAATTTCGACCTGCATCACTTTGGGCTTTGCTTCCACATGGAGCTGACACGTCGTGATATAACTGGGACATTATATGGCGGCGACGGCGGCGTGAAATATATCACTCATTCATAACCTTGGGAATTATGTATTTCGTTTATCGTATATAGGCGTGTCGTGCTCTACATAGCCCCTTGGAAACTTCGGAGAAGGACAACGTTTCTATACTTTTTTGCTATGCTAACTGAAAGAACGGGACCCCCTGTTCGGATAGGAGCCCCCAACGAATGTGTGAAAACTAAACATGTAGCTACGCTGCCGAACTATACGTCTATATTAGCAGTTTTGAGAATTATACCCATCTTCCCCGGTGACAAACACTCATATAAACACTGACATACAGGCATGTCCAAATCCATGTAATGTACATGTATATACAGACTCATAATATTGTTGCAAGGCACCTGTGTGACCATACTGTTCACTTGTGTTAACAGACGCCATCACCAGAAAGGGCAGCGGCTCTAGATCGTGTGCTGTTATATAAATAATTGATAACAAAACTTCCCATAACATTACTTTGAAAAATATTTAATGATGAAAATTCATTTGTAAACTTTGAAACGTGAAACAGACAACAATCAGGGATATAAAACGAACTGCGATGATTGTAGCTGTTGCTTCTAACAGGAGAGGGGGATGTCGAAAGCAGCTGGATCCGTGATGCCGACTTTATATCCGTTAAAGTATGCCTCTGTATCTGGAGCTGTAGAAAAACAATACATGACATTATAAAACCTATGTTGAAGGCAAAGCTACCATAAATTTGGAAGATACGCGATTTTGAATGGTCAATTAAAGGTTTCAAATTCTAATAACCACGACTGTTTGAAACTATTCATTTTTACGTCTGCATAGCCACGTTGGATAATGTTTAATAAGTAATAACTACATACAGCGCCAAACTTTACGCTCGGTTCAAAATCATATTTAGTGCTGTTGAGCTTATATGGAACCAAACCATAAACTGAAAACACAGTATGTTTATGTCCAAATTAAAACCTCGGGAAATGCAGGGAATATGCAGGGTTCCACGCCTCCATGAACGTGGGGAATATCAATCATTCCTATCTGAACTTCGGCGATGTATGTAAGAATAAAATGGTCCATCTCATGACACATAAATACCAAACAAGTATGCACGAAATACATTATATCATATTAGTTACCTTTTACCATGCATCGATCCTTGAAATGTATCTACTCACGATATCCTCCTGTGTATGCGATTCCCTGGAATGTAAGGACACAGTTGGCGCTGGTGACGCCCACGGTTAAGTTGACTGAACCTATAGTTATAAGCCAGGTGTCAGACTTCAGTCCGCTTGCCTCGGTGCCGATATAGCTGGAGCCAAGGTCTGTACTGTCGTCTACATGGGAGGAAAGCACTTTACTGTTTACATGTGAGCTAGTGAGTTTGGGTTATAAGCCTCTTGTAATAGTATTTCAGTTGCATGTGTCAGTTTCAAATTACATCGTCGACATTTACTACTTCGTGGAACTCTACCATGAAGAGTATTGTGCAAAAAGATAAAGGATGATAATTAGTCGAAACTGGGATTTCAACCCTTATTGACAGGTAAATGAGAAATCTCCGCACATCTAGTTACGTCGACTAAGATCACCATGCGGATCTTAATAGATGTGTTGTATTAGCGGTATGTAACATGTTGCTAAATGACGCTGTTAGACTATGCTTATAAATCCTTATCCCAAAGTTACCACTGTTGAAGGCAAAGAGTAGAACTAGCACCAAAGGATGGTAGGTCACCTGATAATATATTCAACAGGCTTAATATACAATGTTAGTAAAATCAGTAATGACTACTGTGATATATGTTTTATTTCAAACAGTCAAATTAATTATATGTTGTTTTTTAGAAACACCTGAAGAGCGTTTCAAATGCATGGGCATCCTTTTCGTACTTTTCAACACAAACACACACATGTTCCATCAGAACAAATTCAAAATGTGAAACAATTTAAACAGACAATTATAAAGATGGAGTATACCAGAGACGTTAACAGTTCTCACTACATCTTACGGGAAACTTACATGATTCAAACGCAAACTTCCAGTTAACATCAAAATTCAAAATGCAAAACAAATCCCGGAAGGGTCATGTGTTGTGTCCCACCACCGGCAATTAGCAGATACTGACTCTCAGATAGTTAGGGCAACTGTAAGCATCTATATATTGTATAATTGTGGCCCTGACGTAGACACCTACCCGGGATGCAGTTTGGCAGGAGGACGTCAGTTGGGACATTCTTGGTGCATGTTCCATCAGCATCGATGTTGTATTGTTCATTCTGCAAAGTCAAAATCATATACTATAAACAGTAATGCAGGTAATGACACACTGTTGTGGATTAAACCACGTTGAATCAGATTTGTCATAGCCAATGAAATATAGGCACCTGAATGCTCATACATGTACCTCAATGGACTGTAGGCGCCTGATTGGATACCTCGGTTGACTGAAGACACCTGATTAGGTGTTACTTTGATGGAATGTAAACACCTGATTGGGTGAAACCTCGGTTGACTGTCGGCACCTGATTGGGTGATACCTCGGTGGACTGTCGGCACCTGATTGGGGGATACTTCGATAAACTGGAGACACATGGTTTGGTCACAACACAATGAACTGTTGGAACAAGGTTGAACCACACCTCAGTTACCTGCAGGTTACATACCTTAGTGAACTGTATGTAACAGGGAGAACCACACCTCACTCAACTTTAGGTACCAGGTTGAATCAAACCTCAACGAACTGCGGGTAACACGTAGAACCATGCCCCAATGAACGGTAGTTAACAGGGTGAACTATACTTCAATGAACTGTTGGTAACCTGGTGAATCACACCTAAATAAACTGTAGATAACAGGATGAATCATACTTAAATGAACTGTAGGTAACGCGCTGAATTACACCTAATTCTATCATGGATATGGAAATTACTCAATTCTGATTGGTCAGTCAGAGGCTATTTAATCACCATATTAAATCTTCCTCTCATTGAAACAGCTGGTTGGCGGCCGCATCACCGCAAAAGCTAATATTC